CCAGCGGAATTCTACAAAAAGACAAGTAAAGACTTGTAGTAGGATGTTTGTGATTCTGTCTCCGCTGTCTTCGAGGCAAGAACAGGAAGCCCCCGAAAGAGGAGGTCAGCCTGCGCGACATTGACCCGGTGCAGTTTCAGGCAGGGGCGTTTGGTGTTCAGGGTTTAGTGGTTTAGGTTCTAGGGATTAGGATTTGGGGGGCCTGCACAAGACTAGTTTCATGACGGGTTATCGGAGGTTTGCAGGTTTTGTGTTGGATGCATAAGGAACTCACAGTGGGCGGATGCTGTTAAGGAATTGCTGAGAGGAGAGTTACCATGATGGGGACATCATGGTAGTTGGTGTGACTATCTTCGGGAAGCTTTGTAATTTTCCCTATGGTCCACTAGAGATACATGTCCATAAATAGTTTCAGAGGCCCGGAGGCTACAGTCCAGAATAAGATGCTTACAGATACCTAGGGAAGTTCTAGGGCGCGAACCGAAGCCCGAATCTTCAAGCCAGGCTTCCTCTTGGGGTTCGGGGTTTATACGGTTTAGGCGTTTAGGGCTCCCAAAAGCGCCAGGTGAAGGACTGCAATGTGAAATGCAGCTCTCTCTCTCTCTCTCTCTCTCTCTCTCTTGCACCGTGTTTTTTTGTTTGGGATGTGTTGGATTACTCGTCGCCTGCCCTGCTCCTGCTCCTGGGATTTCATGTTCCCAAGCACGCCTCCAGGTCATCGTGCGGGGAAGCGCCAACCCTCTTGAGACGCCTTCGGCCTAAGTTGGAGGGCTTCCAGCGTTGAGGGCTTCGGAAGGTTTTTCCACCATTACACGGTTCGGGGTTTAGGGTTCGGTCTTTTCCGCGAAGTCCATTGGACGATTTCCTGGCAATTTTGAGTCACTTGGGGAACTGCAGAGACTACCGATACTGCGTTGGAAGCAGAAGTGCTAAAGGATTTCATTAGAGCTTCGGGGTATGCCATCCCGTAAGTACCAAAGTAGTTCCTTTTTGGGGTTCATATATAGAATCCTATATAAGGTGATCCCAAAAAGGAACTACTTTGGGGCCTATGGGTATATATTGGAGACCGTACGGAGGCAGTGTTGCTAACTCGCTCTCGGATGCACCCGAGGCAGGACCCAAACCCAAGCAGTGCCCTCAACCGACACCCAAAGACCCAAGCCCTTAAACTAGTTAGCCCCTGAACCCTACACCCGAAACAGCCACTCTAAACTCAAGCTTGTCAGCTCCTACACCGGAAAACCAGAAACAACAGAAACAAAACTCCGAAGGCTGGACCAGAAGTTCGCATACATGCGGCTCCATCCTGGTGCCATTTACCTCAACCAGCAGGCCTGTGGCTTGCAAGGATGTGTATATACGGTTTTGTAATATGAGTTTTACAAGTATACGGGTCTACAAGAAAGATTTTGTGAAAGCCGGTCTGCAAGGTTTTGTAAGGTTCAGGGCGAATGTTTAGGGCGTTGAGGTCTGCCTTCTGTGAGCACCCTTGCATGGCAAATGGTTGGGGTTTTGGGAAAGTTTAGGTTGGGGGGGGGTCATACTATCCTCTGCTCTTGCCAAGGCCTTGCATCCTCAATCCTGCCGCCAAACATCAAACCCTGCAAAACAATCCTTAAACCACCATACATCGAACCCAAAAGCCTAAACCCCCGAAACCCTCTAGAACCCCTAGAATCCGTAGAACCCCATAACAGCCCTAAACCCTGAATCCTAAACCCTATAGCTGCTAGACAGGTGGAAAAGAGCCCTCAAAAAAAACCTATGAGCCGCCAGACCTCTTACTTCGTCGAAGAGCTCGACCTCGCGAAGCGCATCGCGTGCGGCACCTGGAACCTCACTGAGCAGACAGTTTGAAGGGGCCACGGTTTAGGGGTTAGGGTTTAGGTTGCTAGTGTAGGGGATTGATGGTTTAGGGTTTTACATGGGCTTCGTATTTGTTTTCTTTAGGCAGTGTAAGGGCTTTATAGTTTTGTAAAGTGCTGTTTGCAGAGGCGAGAAAAACGGCTTGTTGTACAGTAGACAACCCCTGGAGTAGCCTATAGCCCCCAATTCCCCCAGGTGGGTCATCCCGCGAGACTCCCGGAAGATTGACTACTACACCGAGTGCCGTGGGTAGCCTCGGGAGTCAGCTCAGTCTGTTCGGCCCAGACACCCAGCAGCCTTGAGCTTGAAGCAAACCCTGAACCCTACATCCTAAACTCAACAAGTATTCCGGCTGTAGCAGGGAGGAAAAGGGCCCTAACAAAAAAAAACATCCTAAACTCAAGCCCCCAAACGCTAAACCCTAAGCCACACCAGGAGCCCTAGATCGTTAATGCTACAGTTATTGCCGCTTGGGGATTCTGGTCAGCGAAAGGGTTCAGTTCGGAGCTCTGGGATCCGTGGGAATCCGAAAAGCCGTGAGCGAAGCAGACGCTTCTAGTAGCGACAATGGGGGACAGGGGGTAGATGAAGCTTTTGGAGCAGAAGGTTTTGGGGAGGAAGACGAGTTAGCTTCGGCTTGTTGCAGGATTTTCTCCTGAGTGTCACCCCTAATTTATCCTCGAGGTCCAAGTATTCGATAACTATTTACTCCACTCAATATACCAATCTACAAATACTTGTCGCTTGAACCTAGAAGCCCGAGCAACTATGGATACTATTCTTCAGGGTTCCCGAAATTCCTGAACCCCAAGACCAGAGACCCAATATCCCCACTAAGATGTCCTAACCCGACAACTCGAGGTGAATTATACTTCCCGATATAGTCCCTGGAGTCACTGTAGCAAACATATACCCCAAAGCCCTACTGCAATTCTATTGCCTTCGCTGAACAAGAGGGTCTACACTGGGTTCTGTATTGCTCCCTAAGCCCTGTAAGTTCGATTCCCCCAGACGGTATGCCGAGACTGCCTCTGCTGGAACATCTAAAATAACGCAGAGGCCTGACGAACTACCTGTGATATCGCCTCCGACTGTGAAGGCCCCTTGAGGCCCTAGGTTAAAGCACATGAAGCCTGCGTGAAGCCCTATCAACCCCCACAAACTCCCGAAGCCCGTATTAAACCCGCGCTCGAATTCTTAAGCCCCTTTGTCTCAAGGCGAACATTCGACCCTTGTTCTGGCCGGTGGCGGCTTGGTCGGTGGCTCTGGCGTTTGGGCTTTGTGCCTGTCGGGTTTCTCTGGTTTTGGCTTTGGGGTCTTTCTTTTCTGCAAACGCCCGACGAAGCGCGTAGGCTACGTGAAATCAGTCTATCTGGACGTTGGCACAGCCCGTCGTCGTTTGTGACAAGAATTGGCGCTCTCCTGTATGTGTCAGAATAATGTTTAGGCTTTCATTGGTTTCAGGTTTAGGCGTGTCAGGGTGAGGGTCGGGGGTTTAGGTTTAGGGGGTTAGGGTAAAAAGGTTTAGGGGTGCCTTTTGCTTAGTCTTCAGAGCATGAGGGTGCTATTTCAAGCTTCTGGCTTCTACTATAGTGGTTTGGCGGTTCATAGTTCCATAGTTAGCTGTTTGCGATTCTTAGAGTTAACCGTTGCAGCTGTATCAAAGTATCATCATTAGGCAAATCTCCTTTGCTGAGGTTCATCGTATTCCGAGCCCAAAAGCCCCTGAATTGACAGCGCAAGCTGTACAAAGTACAATCCTCATGTTGCGGAATGTTGGGAATCTATGGGTAGAAGCCACTACCCGATCCAACATCGCTTTGCTGACCCAAATGTCGAAGTTGCACCCTAAATCCGAACTTGCCAAAGTTTTCAACGTTGCAACATAACATCGTTTTGGGAACCGCAGAGAATGGCTTTGGGATTACAGAGGAACCCAGCCTTCCATCGGCCGAAACTGAAACAGACTATTCTGCTTTGCGCAATGACCTCTTGTGAACTCTGAACGCGAACCAGACCTCCATAGCATCCTGATCGTAATATAGTGGTCTTAATAGCTAATATACATATATATATATATATATATAATTATATATTTATATTTATATTTATATTTATATTTATTTATATATATATATATATATATATATAATAACAAGGACCCCCCCCCAAAAAAAAAAAAAATGATGTAGGTAATTGTACTCCCAGATGTAACACGACCTGAAATCCGGGAGCAGTTTCTCTAGGCCCGTGCTTCGGCTCTTCCAGCTGGAGCCCCCGTCCAGTCGGCCAGGGGCTCGATCACTCACAGGCTTCGGGGGTTTTGGGTGTAAGGCTTATATATGTTCAGCAAGCGCCGAAGGTGCCATGAACATGCCTTAAGATCAGACAGTCTTGCGTGTCTTCTCGTTTCTCGGGTTCTCAACCGTCGTACTGCCGCTGCCACGATGATGATGGTGATGGTGATGAGGCGGAGGACCAGATGAAGATGATGATGATGATGACGACGACAGTAATGTTGATGCTGTCGATGTCAGGGCAAAAATAAATCAACTACGCGGATGACTATGGCTCTGGCTGCCACCAGTTGATGACTGTGGTTGCGCGTCTTCTTGCTTTTGGTACTACAGTGGAGTCAGTGCCCTCGCTTTCTTCTGCCACTCTCCCAGCCGAAGGCTGATCAGCTTTGGCCTGCAGGGTTTAGGGTTTGCGGGTTTAGGGGTTTAGGGTTTAAGGTTTGAGGGTTTAGGGTTTAGGGTTTAGGGTTTAAGGGTTTAAGGGTTTAGGGGTTTAGGGTTTAGGGTCAGTTTTCTGTCTGACATTCCTGTACCTGCTGCCCTTGTCCTCTGCATGGACATCTGAGAATGTACTTATACACATCGCAACACGTAGCATGCTCCGAGAAGCCCCCCTAATCCATGAACCCTGACCGTAACCCCTAACACCATCTTCGAAACCCTGAACCCCTTAAACCCTAAAGTTGCCGTAGGGCTCCGGATACCTACATAGTAGGTTACTGGGGTAAAAAATAAATAAATCAAAGACTAAAGATATATGTATATGGTTAGTAACCGACTATTTAGGTAACTGGAGCCCTTGGGGGTTGTTTAAAGCAACGGTCGCAAGCAGCCATGAGCTGCCTGGATGGAGCCTGGCGATGGCTCTCTGGGTCGCCCCCGCAGGACACTGCTTTCGGGCGCCAGGCCTGCGCCTAGGGGTTCCCTTGATTAGGATCTAGGGTTTTGGATCAGGGTTCCTTTAAGGGAACTATAAGGGTTACCATAAGAGTACTATAGGGTTTAGGGTTCAGGGTCAATGATGATGGTGATTACGACGGTGATCGTGAGTGTATTTTTTATGTTTTCATGCTGCGACCTCGTTCTAGGGGTTTTGATGACTGTCCATGTTGCTGTTGTTATACCCCTTGTGCTGGTATCGGCCTACGTCCTTGTTGACCACTATTTTTTCTGCGCATTGAATTGATTCCTGTGCAGACCCAAGTTCCCAGGCCCAAGTATATGCTGTGTAGAGCCCAAGGGTAGAATAGCCGGGGGCTGGCAGAACGGTTGATGATATAAATCCTGCATTACCGATTTTAAGGAATATACCATAATTGCCATACCTCAGGCTCCTTAAGGTCATGCAGGATTTATATCATCAACCGAAGGACCAGATCTTGCCGGACACCACCTGGAAGTCGGATGAGTTCAGCGAGTACGAACGCGAGTGCCTGGGCTTCCGTTCCTCTTTCTATCTTGGCCTTAAAAACTGATTAGAATAGGGCTGGTGGGTAGATTAAAGTATTGTTCATTAACAATTCAAGGACTAGTTTTGCTGATAAGGGTATATTATAGTACTGTTGATTATAGAATCACTTTAAGGAGTAGTCTTGCTGATCAGGGCATATTGCAGTACTGTTCACTATAGAATCACTTTAAATTATATTGCTGATACGTCCGACCGTTCCTTTTGTCGGTGGTCGGGCCTGCTCACGCTGCAAGGGGGTGTAGGACAGTGTAGGAGCAAGGATTCGCGGGCATGTAGGGCTAGGGGCTTCTGTTCCACTGCGGAGTTTCCGAAAGTCAGGGACCCTAATTTCGTCGAACATAACTTAGAGGAACCGTAGGCTTCGTGTGTGCGGTGTGGGGCTTCAGCGCAAAGGTGAAAGCCTGAAAGACGCTAGGTTTTGTTGGATGTCGGCTTTCAAAGTTTGTTCCCCAAACAGTTGATCAAGACCACTAAAGTATCCTAAAAAAATATAGGGGTCCCATGAATCAACCATGAAATATTCATTTTCAGAAGCATCCTAGGATGGACATTTTTTGTGTTTGCACGAAGTTTGGGGATAGGGTTGAGGCCTTCTTAGACCGATATGGGTGGTTGTCAAAATTAGGGTCCCCTTTTTTGGGTACCCTAAATTATAGGTGCCGTGTTATAATAGGGGCCCAAAAAAAGACCATAATTTAGACAACCACCCATATGTGTGTAGGCAAAACTTCATACCGAGGAAATGTACTGTAGCCCCAGTTCTTGCAAGCCCTAGGCTAAGACAATAAAGATGAGCGGATGCCTGGGCTTCGGAGTACCATGCTCTAATACTTCCGGGACCTAGTCCTTAAAAGGGAACCGTTATGAACGAAAAGCCTATCCCTTTCTTCTCCCTGGTAACTTCAAAGTTCAGATGCTGACAGGTTCCAAAGCTACATGCAGCAAAACCTGAGGGAGCAGATGCCCTCCCAGGATTTTGCTTCCGAGATGCTCGACGAGAATCGGCCGCAAGAAGAAGCTAAACGCGAAGAAATACAGGGGCCTGAATAGTTACTTATAGTATTTTGGGGGTTCCCTTATTATAACTATTATAATGGGCCCAATCTCCTGTTGTAATTATTCAGGCCCCTATATCATACTGTTCGAAACCCTCCCGACAGCTTCACCCGAAGGTTTAGCCATAAGCCACCCAAAGGAGCCTCATGACCCCTAAACCCTAAACCCTAAACCGTCATGATGAGTTTCTATTCTATTTGAGGCCTTCGATTTGGGGTGATCTTTGGAACAATGGACTAACGGGTCGCGAGTCTGATAAAGACCCAGAGATCCCGATACTCCCTCAAACAAGAGGTCGGCCGTAAACTATAGAGGGTTCCCGAGTATCATGTAGGCAAAGTAACTTGCTTAGTTAAGGGGTGCTGTTCGAAGTTCGATTCATGGTGATCTTGGCAGGGCATCCTCTCTTGTTGCAGCTACGGCAGTTGGATGCTGATCATAGAAGCAAGCCAAGCGCTTTCTGACGCGAAGCCTTGCCGGGAACTCGCGTTTAGACTATGCTTAACTACTTGACGATACGTGTACAAATCCTTCCAGCCAGGCAACCTAACGAATACAAGCTTGGTACTGCATCCGGCGTGGCAGTTTCGATTGAAACCCAAGTTGCACAGTATCACTCCCACCTGCTTCATGACAGTTGTCCACATACTAAAACCTGCTATCCTTGACCTCTGAACACCTAAACACCTGAAGCCTAAACCCCTAAGCCCCTGAATCGTAGAACTCTAGGACCCTTAATCTGTGAAGCCGGAGGATCGTCAGCAGCTACAAGAGAAGCTGCAGCAGCTGGTTGCACTGTGGAGTGCCTTTGCTCAAGAAACGGCCGAGCAGAGACTGTATGGGGTTTAAAGTGAGGTTTATGCGATTTTGTATTGGGAATGTAGAATAAGGCTTCTAGATGAGTTCACGGCTTTATGGAGCTTAACATAGGGGTCTTAATCAGGACAGTATGTGTGCAGGGTTTAAGGAGGGTCTTATAGGGTTAGTGCCGGGGCCTGACTAGTGAGAACAGGGTCTTTGGGTAATAGTATGGCGGTAAAGAAGAGCGACTATAGTAATGGGGTCATCTAATGGTTTCGGGTGGTGTGAGGTTCTGCCCTGTTTTGGATTTCTGTGCTTGAAGGGTGGCTTTAGGCCGGCGGTACCTGCACGAGGTTCGAGCAGCAGCTCAAAGATGGGCACGGCCACAGCTTGGTCTTTAGGGTTCGGGTTTAGGGTTAAGGGCATCCTGGATGTCTCGATTGAGGCGAGACCATCAAATCAAACTCAGAGTTCCACAAGGTCACAAAGCTATATACGAAACATAACTGTTGTACTTCATGGCGAGGTTTATATATAGTTTGAAATGACCTGGATTAGACTTTACGATTAGATAGGTGAAAACGGGTTTAAGCCCGCCACCGAAGCTGGCACTCAGGAGAGGCCCGCAGCGTCGTGGTTTTCACTGGTGCGGGCAACGTGGCTGATAGTATATAGAAGCTTGAAGGCCTTGCATAATTACCAACATTATATCATTATTTGGATTCAAGATTCGGGATTCAGGTGATTGTGGAGTTCGGTTTGTTCAGGCATCGCTGGACATACTTCGGAAAGCCACACGGGCTCTCTGAAGGAACTGGTTGCGCTCTGTCCCAAAGTCCCAACCGTTTACAGCTTGGGTGAGAGCTTGCCTATCGTTCAGCCTCCACACAGGCTCCCACTTGAATGACCGGGTCTTGTTTCGTACAGCGAAGCTTCAAAGTTGATCGTCCAAACTGTATTCGCGGAACACAGGCGCTGTGCAAGAAAAGCGCCACCACCCCTCCGCGCAGTATGATTTCCTTGCAATCCATGTTGAAGCATTATCTACCAAACTTATCAGAATTTTTCAGTCTTGCCAGGTATCAAGACGAATTCCGATACGGATATCTCGGTCCAAGTTCGGATCTCACTCAGGTATCAGCACGGCAGCCGGCCTACCCGACTACCGTGGCAGCTCTGCTGCAATAGGATACGACAACTCACGGAAAGAACAAGGCTTCAGTGCGTTCGAAGTCGCCAGAGCGTCAACATCTGTAGTGTGGCCTACTGGTACATGAATATGGGCTGCTTGCGTTATGGTCGCACTTAGTACAGTGCACACTGTTGCTGCGGTTATCATAATTGTGATATACAGATTGACTCATTGCTGTTGTTCCATTCTTTGTAGATCTTTGTAGTTGTAACCCTGCTAACTAGTGCAAGCAGTGGCTCTCGAATTCAGAGGTTGGTTTGGACTTTATGACAGGACATTCTCAAACCGTGGTAATGAGGAAGCCGAGTAGCTTCAGATTGGATTCAGGCTGTTATGAGGTTCTACACATTTGAAATTGAGCGAAGGGGTATTCTGGAGGTTTTTTGGTAAGGGTTCTATCGGCATTATTATGGTAACTTAGATTATGGCCAAAGCATACTCAGATATTCTTGGGTTACATCTGTATCAGCTCAACACGCAGGCGAAGATTATACTTATCGGGGGAATGTAGATGCTTCATAGACGAGTCCCCGACCACTCATCGAAGCTGTCCGCAAGGCTGAAACAATTCAATTTCAACGCTTGTTTATGAGCCCTCCTCCCCCCTAAGCCCTAAAGCTCCAAACCTAGACCCCAAACCCAAATCCCAAACCCCCCAAACCCTAAACCCCGAAACCAGAACCCGTATAACACCCTAAGCACTACCTTGAACTACCAAAACCTACTATTTTGTAGGGTCCCTATAAATTCCATATTAGGGCTTATAATAAGAGCCTACAATAAAGTAGGTTATGGTAGTTTAAGGTAACTCATGGTCTTCTTCTTTCATCCCGACGGACTCCGAGGGCCTCAGGGCGTTTGGACGCGGAAGCTACGGGGAGAAGCCGTGACGGACCTGGACCTCCATCAAGGCAGATTTAGGGGTTTAGGGGATTTAAGGGGGCTATAGGGGTTATACGTAGGGTTGTCGGGATGATAGGGATTATGGGGTTTAGGAAGGTTTAGGGGATCAAGAGGACTTAAGGGGACTATAGGGATTATAGGAGCTTCTTCTGTGAGTTTGGCACTCTAAGGTGAGGATGTTTTAGGGCGTGGTGTCAAACCATGGTGGCGGGTAATACGGAGTGACATAAGACTCCTCTTCCGCCTACTTCGGGGGTGCTGGATGGTGGGTTCAGGGTCTACGGGCCCAATATACTATATTCATAATGAGGAACCCCCCAAATAGTATGGGTAATTATCTAGGCCAGCTTAGTATATACCACCGGGTTGTGGGATTATGGCCCGGGAACGATGTGACTGGCTCGAAAGTGCAAGTCTGATGTAATAGAACCAGCAGTGCGCCAAAGTCTGGACTGCTTGTTGCTCGAAGAATCCGGAATGGTTAGTTCACGTAGTATGAAATCTCGTTGTTTTCTCAAGTCAGTCTTATCAGCCTGAAGCCGCACGAGAGGAGTGTCAGCCATTGTCCAAGAAGTACTCGCCTGGCACAGGTCTGGAACCAACTGAAGCCCATCGCGGGATAGCACGGCTACTGAAGGCAGGTTTGGTGGCCTTCGTCGCAACCACAAATGTGGATGGCTTGCACAAAAAGGCCGGGCATTCATGTATCTTCCCCATATCTGCATCGAGCTGCGGTAGCTAAGGAATATCAGGCTTGGAAGCAAAGGTAGCACGACGCCAGGTGTTGAGGCTTATAAGCTAAAAATCAGATGATGACGTAGAGAAGTTAGTGCATAGGTTCCTACATTAGTACCCTTATACATCCCTTATAGTATCCCTATAGTATCCCTTAAAAAACCGCTCCGAAAGGCAGGGCTGCCTTCAGAGTGCTTGGCCGAGCTACATGGCAACAGCTTCGAGGACAGCAGGAAGGCTCAGAAGCGCAGAATCAACACCCCAATGCTTTAGGGCTTATATATATATATATATATATATATATATATATATATATATATATATATGATTAGGGCTTATATATAGGGCTTATGTAGGGTTTATGTAGGGTTTATATAGGGTTTATGTAGGGTTTATGTAGGGTTTATATAGGGTTTATGTAGGGTTTATGTGGGTTTATATAGGGTTTATGTAGGGTTTATATAGGGTGTATGTAGGGTTTATGTAGGGTTTATGTAGGGTTTATGTAGGGTTTATATAGGGTTTATGTAGGGTTTATGTCGGGTTTATATAGGGTTTATGTAGGGTTTATGTAGGGTTTATGTAGGGTTTATATAGGGTTTAGGGTACCATGACATGCATCGATTCAGCGGTTTGTTGCACGATGGCCAAGCAGGAGGAGTGCGGCAAGTGCGGAAGCAGGCCGACCCGTGTGCTTCTACCCGTGGCCGTGGATGCGAGACCGAGATTCTCTACGGCCCAACCATCTCAAAGCAAGTGTTCACTTTGGGTGATCTCAGCTCGTGGTCCCTATCGTAAAATTTGAACCCTCAGCCCTATACTACAAGGGCCGCTTTTAAGGGACCCTAAAACCTAAGCCCTTGGGTAGGTTCGAAAGAGACTTCGTGGTGCGCACCGCGACGAGCCTCTTCGACCACGAGACGGGAAGGCTATAGGGCCATACGGCCCTATTGTCTTGGTAAGGGGTTTAGGGTTTTAGGTTTAGGATTTAGCGTTTCGGGGTTTCGCTGCAGTGACTGGAAGCGACAAGTGGCATAGCTGCAAGATCAGCCCGCACCCGAACAAGAGGACGAGACGGAACTCAAGAACGAATACGATGAAGCAAATCAGCATGGATTTATTGATGGCGGTGGGTATAGAGAAGACGGTCCGTTCTGTGCTAGGGACCTGTCTAGAATCAACCTTCAAGTCTTAGACCCCCGGCACATACCCGGTGGCTGCAAAGCCGAAGGAAGTGTTGGTAGGTAAGCTGTCGAGGACGATCCCTGCTGGCCAAACTGTTTGGATCTTGGGCTCTAAACACCCTGCCTTACAAGCTGCCCCCACCCTGTAATAGTGACTATTTGGGCCATATTATATTCCTATTTTACCTGCCCCACCCAGATGTAACCGTCGATGAAACATTGCGTCCAGTCCAAAACTACGAGCCCACGATTCGAATGCTAAGATGGGTGAGCTAGTCATCCTAAATTTGTCCTACAGGGTAGACCCATGTTCCAACTTTGTGGAGCCAGTATGGCTGAATCCCCTAAGCCCTACACCGGACTGCCGGAGGCGCTGCGAAGAATGTGGTGGCCCACTGCGGGACACGAAGCTCGGGACGATTTAAGCTCACGGAGTGGTTTCTGGCTGCCTACTTGGCGGTTCATGGGTAGTTATAAGTGGGGTTATAAGTGAGGTAACTATAGTTATGACCCATATTAGGGGACCACCTAAAACTACCCATGGACCTCCTAGTAAGCATGGTCAGGATGTCCAAACATTTATGTCTAGTTTCAAGCAGCAGCATGCGTCTTTCTTCATCACCGGCTTTCACGGGCTTTTACTCCGCGTAGACATGAGACCAAGAATACGAAAACACAGAAGCAAGAATACGCAAACACAGAGGCAGCACCCCTTGCGAATGCAAGAGAACACACTACCCTTCAATTTTGCACTCACCGGGGAACATGATCTGAAGACGGAGAGAATGTCTGAACCTGACCTGGTTGCAGAAGGCACCGTTGTTGGTTGCTTGTATTGGGTTCTCCGGGGCACTTTCAGCCACAGACTGCTGGTGTGGAAGGGCAAGCATTCATCGGTGGCCGGCGAAAACATAGAAATCCCAAATTGCGCCACCTAAACCCCTAAACCCTAAACGCCAAACCTGAGCCTAGGATTGTGAACTTTGGCAACACCGTGGAGCAAGTGCCTTCGATGGAGGCTGCCTACGACCGAACCTGGGCTCCTTGCCATCTTTGGGCTTTAGGGTTTTGTATAAGGGTTCAGGGTTTAGGGATCCTTTAGAGGGTTCCGTTAAGGGTACTCGAAGGGTTTTGGGGCTTGTTTGGGCTGAGGGGTGTTTGGGCTTCAGGGGGGTTCCTTCAAACTAGAGGGGTTCTACGGATTCTACTTTCACCCGCACTGGATTTCTGGGTTGGGGGTTTGGGTTTTAGTGGGCTGAGGGCGTTTAGGGTTTGAGGCGGAGGGTTCATGTTTTGAATCCGGTTACACGGTCTTGGCGCTTGGATGCAGTGTTTCAGGTTTCGGGTTCGGGGCTTGGTGGTTTAGCTTGTACGGTTTATGGGGCTTGTGCCGGACTTGCAGTAAGAGGGTTCTGATTACAGTTGCAGGCACCTTACTTGGGGTCAACCTACTTATAGCCTACTTACCTACTCTAGCTACAACGGCAACTTGGTGTCGGAAGCGCAGGTAGGAGTTTGTAGGGGTCTCGACAAGCAGGCGGCTGAAGGGTCGTCGCGCTTCTGATCTCGGGTACGGGATTCAAGACTTTATACCTTGCTTGAAAGTGCTGTAGTTTACTATGTCGTCTGTTGCAGTATGTCATGATTTATAGTGTACAGAGGGTAAATTCAAGACGGGGCTTTGCTTAAGGTACTGCGAAGGGTAGACTTTTATCCCGGCAAGGTGGCCATAAACCAATCGCACAGCCCACGTATAGTACAAGATATGGGTCTTCATGTTTGGGGTTATAGTCGCATGGCACATGGCTGAATTACGCTGGCGATTTGAGAGCCTTGTTTCCGTGTGCTCTCGCCAGACTGAAAGTAACAGCCTTCCGGCCCCGACCGCCTAACCCTCGTGGCCGAAACCCGAGACCCCAATGACAGAGGAGCGGGAATAATTACTAATGTTATCCGATCCCTTAGGGTTCCTTTTTATAGTAAGCATAACACACCCTCATAGGCAACAAAAACAAATTCCATTCTATCCCAACACCCCTTCCCCCCGCCTGCCTCCCTCAACCGCCCATCATGGTTGGCGGTCAGGGTTTAACTTCGTTCCTTATCTGCGGGAGCCCCTCGGAATGGCATCAAGGAGTGCCCGAAACCCTCAGCCGCAAGCGTAAGCCTCGACCTCAATTTCTGAACCGTAGTCCTAAATTCCTCAGCCCCAAGCTTTTACATTGTGCCCCATCCGGCGACAAGGTCCAATGCCTCAAAGCAGACTTGGTGGTCGTCCTAGGCATCGCCAGGGCATGGGGGAGGGGATCTTGACACAGCTTTGGGCTCGGAAGTGCAAGGGTAAGGGTTACGGGTTATACTGGTGCTACACTTCACGCCCAACAGATCCGGTGCCCCCCCGGTTCGCCAAGCCCTAAACCCTTGTAAATCCTACATACCCTCAACTGCAGGGACAGTGTTGACGGTGCGAGGTTGAGTGAGGTGCGGGGTTCGTCGCGAGCAAGGTGTCACATGCGGAGCATACTGCCCGAGGATTCTACGTTCTGTTGCTCACTTCCCTCTCAACCCAAGACTCGGCGAACAAACATGGAGCCCTGGAAGGCAGAACCACCCGAAGCGTCAAATCCCCAAAGCCCCACTCGGAACCGAGAGCGACGGTTGAGGGTGGAGGCATCGTCGGCGGGGCTTAAGACAAGTTTAACAAGTTTAGGGTTTTCAAAAACTTCAATTTCTTATAGCCTGCACCCGGTAGAATCAATCCCATCCTTGGACTCCTAAGCCCGAACTCCTAAACCCTAAACCCCTAAACCTAGACCGGCTGCGGGATAGAAAGAGGCGCTTAAAAAAAAAGAAAAACAAACCAAACCCCCATGAGCCAGAAACCCCTAAACCCCTGAAACCCCAAAACCATAAACTGGAAACCCCTAAACCCCCATGAACCAGAAACCCCTAAACCCCTAAGACCTTAAACTAGAAACCCTAAACCCCCATGAACCAGAAACCCCTAAACCCCTAAGACCTTAAACTAGAAACCCTAAACCCCCATGAACCAGAAACCCCTGAAACCCCGAAACCCTTGAAACCCTTGAAACCCCTAAACTCCCAAAACTTTAAACCCAAAGCTTGCAGGGAGCAGCCTGAGTGTGCCAACAGCCTGTGATCTTCCAGAGGACTGGGTCCCTTAGGGCTTAACTGGGTTTAGTGTGAAACTAGAAGTCACGGCAGCTCTTTTCTTGCGTTATCGGACTTGAGCCAAGTGCATTGCACAGGCCATGCTAATCTGCTAATCTTCTCTTTCTCGGCACGTGTGTGTCATCCTTGTGCATGGGCCATGATGGGCCATGCTCTCACTTTGGGATTCACACTGGTTCAAAAACAACTCCAATTTTTTGGAGGCTACGGCGGGGCTTGTCGCCACACACTGACCATGAAGAGCACGGTCAGCACGAAACGGATATCCGTAAAGCTCTGGCAGCCCGTTCCGCAGACGCTCCGCGCAAGTGCCGCCTCGCGGTTGTCGAGGCTGCTGCGGCCGCCCCTTGTCCTCGAGGCCGTACTTGTAGAGGACGTGGCCACAAAGGAGGTCGTAAACGCCAAAGTCGCAGAGGAAGTTGTGGCAGACGATGCGGCCGTCCAAGATATTGCCATAGAGGAATCTGGCCAAGAATGGCGTCACAGCACTTGTAGTTGCCGGAAGCATTGCCACACACGATGCTGGCCATGAAGATGTGGCAGCAGACAGTGCTGTCAAAGGAGATGTAGTTACCAGTTGTATCCTCTGATGTCCTATAGGATGTGTTTCTGGACGACGTCGGCGAAGAAAAGACAACGATGGACCGCGGCTTGGTCGACAAGGTCATGGCAAGTCTTGATTTGGAAGACGTGCTTGTCAGGGTGGAGCATGACGTGGCGGAGGACATGGCCGCAAGGGTAAATGAAATGTAGGAGGTAGGTTGTGAGATGCCGGCATACTCGTCGTAGACAATGACGTCATGCAGGATGTAGTCAATGTAGTCCTCCAGCCCGATATCGACGTAGAAGGTGTGGTCGTAGAGGATGCTGTAGTCGCGGAAGATAATGCCACAGACGGTGTCGTCATTGAAAAAGTGGTGGCGCGGCAAGGTGCTATACAGGACGCCGTCAGTGAAGATGTTGGTATAGAGGGGAGTTTGCATAAAGGAGGGCATTGTGCATGTTGCCGTAAACGAAGATTACGAAGATGCGTTGTCGTAGAAGCTGCAGTTGTGGTAGATCTCGTCATAGACGATGTCGTTGTAGAGACTGTTGTCGTGGAACATGCTTTCGTGGAGGATCTCGCTGGGGATGTAGTTTGTGGTAGAAGACGTGTAAAGGATGCGGCCGTTGATGGTGGACGGTGACTGCAGAGGTGGGGAGCTGTCATACACCATGTGGTCGAAGAGGGATCTTGCCGTAAAGGGTACTGATAGGGGACTGATGGATGCGGCCGGTGGAGATGATGATGTTGATCTTGTGGTCGATGATGTTGACGTGGAAGCTGTGCTCGTCGATGATGATGTACAGGTCCCGGTAGTCGATGGCGCTGATGTAGAAGATGTGTCGTCGAGGGGGTTGGTGTAGAAGATGTCGTGGGCCTTGATGTTGGCGTAGAACATGTAGCCATCGAATGTAATTATGTAAAAGAGATGGTAGCCGACGGTGTCGATGTTGAAGATGTCGTTGGCGAAGACACTGATGTCGAGGATGGGGTAGTCGATGATGTAGATGTGGAGGTAGCAGGTGTGGTCGTCAGAAATGTTGACGTGGAGGACGTTGTAGTCCACGGTGGTTGACGAACATGTTGATGTAGAGAAAGTGGTAGTCGATGATGTGGATGTAGAAGATGTGGCCATCAGCGACGCTGATGTAGAGGGTGCAATAGTCGACGATGCTGATGTAGAAGGTGTGGTCGGCGAACATGATGATGTAGAGGACGTGGTAGTCGATGATGTGGACGTAGAAGCAGTGGCCGTCAACGATGTTGATGTAGACGGTGTGGTAGTCGCCGATGCTGATGTAGAAGATGTGGCCGTCGAGCTTATTGATGTGTCAGATATGGTCGGCAATGATGTTGATGTGGATGTGGACGATGTGGTCGTCGAGCATGTTGATGTAGTAGAGGCGGCCGCCGAAAATGGCGGAGCAGAGGATGTGGTAGCCCACGATGCTGATGTAGAAGATGTGCCCATCCAAAATAATGTGGAGGATGTGGTAGTCGACGATGTCGATGTAGAGGTGCTCGGCGAACATGCTGATGTAGAGAACGTGGAAGTCAAAGATGTGGATGTAGAAGGTGTCGTTGTCAACGTTGTTGGTGTAGAGGATGTGGTAGTCGACGATGTCGATGTAGAGGTGTTCGGCGGACATGTTGATGTAGAGAACGTGGAAGTCAAAGATGTGGATGTAGAAGGTGTCGTTGTCAACGTTGTTGGTGTAGAGGATGTGGTAGTCGACGATGTCGATGTAGAGGTGCTCGGCGAACATGTTGATGCAGCGGACGCGGTAGTGGATAATATGAATGTAGAAGTAGAAATCGCCAGAATGTTGATGTAGAGGATGTGGTAGGCGAGGAGGTTGGTGTAGACGGTGTGGTCGGCGGACACATTGATGCGGAGGATGTCGTAGTCGATCATGTTGTTGTAGAACGCGTGGCCGTCAGCAATGTTGATGTAGGGGACGTGCGACTTGGAGATGTTGATGTAGAAGATGTGCCCATCAAAATATCGATGTAGAAGACCGGTAGCTGACGATGTCGATGCAGAGGATGCCGTCGGCGAAGACGTTGATGTAGAGGACACTGTGGTCAATGAGGTTGGTTCAGAAGATGTAGTCGTCAGCAATGTTGATGTACAGGTCATGGTAGAAGAAGAGGTTGCTGTAGAAGACATGGTCGCCGAATATTTAGATGTAGAGGATATGGTAGACGATGATGTTGCCGAAGGTGTGGTCATCGGCAATGTTGAAGTGGAGGGTGTAGTAGTCGAGGAATGTTTGCACAAGTCCACCGTAGCACGGCATACAGACGGGAACGACGAAGCAGTCGAAACGACACCGAACAGCAAGTCCGCCTCAGGGCACAGTATGTAGACGGAGAAGACGAAGAAGCGCGCGACGGCACCAAACTGGAAGTCCGCCTCATAGCACAGTATGTAGACCGAGGAACGAAGCAGTGCGCGACGGCACCAAACAACAAGTCCGCCTCATAGCACAGCATGTAGACGGAGAAGACGAAAGAAGTGCACGACGGCACCAAACAAGAAGCCCGCCGCATAGCACAGTATGCAGACGGAGACGACAGAGAAGTACACGATGGCATAGAGCAAGAAGTTCGCCTCATAGCACAGCATGTAGACGAAGACAACAAAGAAGTGCACGACGGCACAGAACACAGTGCACGGACCATGAGAAGACCTGCATGCCCCAGGAACGGTCCCGAGGCTCCGCTACCAATGTGAAACTAGAAGTCACGGCAGCTCTTTTCTTGCGTTATCGGACTTGAGCCAAGTGCATTGCACAGGCCATGCTAATCTGCTAATCTTCTCTTTCTCGGCACGTGTGTGTCATCCTTGTGCATGGGCCATGATGGGCCATGCTCTCACTTTGGGATTCACATTTAGGGTTGAGGGTTTAGGTGTTTAGGGTTGAGGGTTTAGGGGTTTAGGGTTTAGGGGTTTAGGGTTTAGGGGTTGAGGGGTTTAAGGTTGAGGGTTTAGGGGTTGAGGGGTTTAGGGGTCTTAGGGTTTAGTGCCGACTCAGACCTACCTTTGTCAGGGTTCCATATCATGGTTTCTATTTCTAGATCCTTAAAAAGTTAGTCATCTGGGCCACAGGTAGGGTCTAGCGTTGACGGTGTAGGGTTTGGGATTTGGGACGTACAGGGTGGTCAAGGCTGGAGGAAGTTCAGGGCATGTAGGGTTTAGGATTGTATCTCTGCGTGTCGGTTTGTCCGTCTCTCTCTCTTTCTCTCTCGCTCTCTCTCTCTCTCTCTCTCTCTCTCTCTCGCCCGTTGCATTCGCAATCCTGGATGTCGAACTGAAAGCAATCCCGAATCCCAAGCCCCGAGACCATAAGACTCATCGCCTGAAAACCCTAACTCGAGGCCCTTGCCCAAGCCTTACCCCTTCCCCGCAACTCCTGTCGGAAACCTTAATCCCAAACCTATATAGCCCCACAACCCCTTTACCCTAAGGGTCCGAGCGCCTAGTAATCATATACTCTCCCAAATGGTATGTAACCTACATAACTACATACTATCCGAAACCTAAGTACCCAATTATTGGGTCCTTTGGACCCTTAGGGTAGTAAGTACCTATAGGGGTTCCTTTAAAGGGTTCCTTTGAAGGGGTCCCACAAGGGTTACTATAAGGGTACTGCAATATAGGGGCCTTATTCAACCCCCCCCCCCCCTTTTATCCGAAAGCCCAGTCGGGCGGCAGGAGAGTTTGCCTGCGCGGGAGAGCAAGCCGGCACCTTCGCCAAGATATCAAGTTCAGGAACCCAAAATCATAAGCACAAGCATTTTATAGGGATATCCCTACCTTATTGGGTTTCTTTATAAGCGGGTTTATATGGGTTGTTGTTTGACATTCGAAGTGTTTTAGAGTGTCTTGGTTTGGGGTTAAGGTGTAGGGGTCATGCCAAGCCGTGAAGATGTCGTTTGACACTCTAACTGTTGTTAGTGCTGATAAGAGTGTCTTGGTTTTTGTGCTGATAAGAGTGTCTTGGTTTGGGGTTTAAGGTGCAATTGTTATGGGCTGGAAAGGATGGTGTTGGAGTTGCAAGGCTTTTCGGAATGCCCCAACGAGCAGTGAAGCTATGAGCCCGGAAATCATGTCATAGACATAGGCATACTTGTAGACTATACTATACCTATACAGTGATGACCGGAAAGTAAAGGTGATCTGGCTGACATGTGTCGTGATGGCAGCAAGTGCTGCTATGCTCAAAAGATCCGATCGCAAGACTGGTATGCAGGAAGGTGGCCGTTTGGTCATCGTCAACCTCCAGCGGACCCCCAAGGACCCGCGTTGCCTGAGGGCTCAGATTCGTTTCTGTAGCAGTTGCTGACCCGGATATCCGAAAAGCTTGAGCTAGGACCCCAGATGAATGAGAACCTATTGCCGCGAAACCCTACAATGCTGATGCATCACTGCAGCAACTTGCAGGACGATTTTGCCAGCTTGCGGCTATATGCTGCCTGCGACACTGTCATGGCGCCTCGGAATGAGATGGTACTCAAATTGAGAACTCAAAACCCCAATGCAGGGATCTGAGGAATGTATACATAGAAACTCTACAAAGCATACAGAGCCGAAGTCCTGTGAATCAAGTTCCCTCGTCTATAAACCCTAAACTAACCCTTAACCCCCCTCAATCTTGAGCCCTAAACCAAACCCTGCTTGTGGCCCCAAAGACCTACCCTTTAAGGAACTTTCTACGTAAAGGAAACTGCAATAAGAAACCCTAAAAAGGTCGGTCTTTGGTAGCTCTTTTCGGCTACAGGTGCGCCCTAGGCCCCGAACCCAATCCTTCGCCGAGGCCTTCGTCGAGAAGCAGCTGCTGGGATGAGGGTGAGACTCTTCGGGGACCATGGGTTCCTCTGAAGAGCCCCACTTGTATCAAGTTAAGGGTATTTGGGGTTTAGGGGTTCATAGGGGTTTAGGGCTAAGGGTTTCATAGGAGCCCTCTTGTATCAAGTGTAGGGTTTGGGGATTAAGGGTTTGAAGCTTCTAGCCGTTATATAAGAGCCAGTGCAATGTGAATAGAACTCTTTCCACCGCATAACCCAAAGCTGTTTCTGATCACTAAGACCTTTTACTCAGCAGCAACACAGGGGTTTCACCAGTTGTGGTATTATTCCTGGGGCTTCCTTAATGTTACTATACGCAAAGAGAACCCGAAACTTATTTCGAACAATTCATCATTAAGGCTTCTATGTTACAGTGTATATGTATGTGTACATAGAGAAAAACATGGTTAATATTAGTCTGGGCTTCTACTGGCTAGGCCTGAATCTATAACAATCATTATTGTGTGTTTGCTTGCTTCAACTGCCATTTTGTTGTGTATGTATGTGTTTCTTGATATGCACTTGCCTGCATGCAGGTTTTTTTACACATCTACAGCGACAGATAGACGGACATACGCGCCTCTGAAAGTACACAGACACCTGAAGGGAACATCGAAGCAGGGCAAAGTGTCTTAGTGGCTGAGTGGACACACTTTACACTTTTGGGGATAATATTACCCACTATGATACACTTGTGGGGCTTATGAACTCAGCAACTGAGGTGTAGCATGAGCTATACCGCCTAGCAGCGTCTCACGACAGCTTGGGTCCAGGGCACAAGTCTAGGAGCTCCGAATTTTCGATGTTAGGGTTGATGGTTTTGGGTTTAGGGTGTAGGGTTTGGTTTAGGGTTTATAGGGGTGTAGGGTTTAGGGTGTAGGGTTGAGGGCTTAGAGGATTGGATCTTTGATTTTATCCGCTTCGTTTCACCAATCTCGAGCACGACGACATGGAAATACATAGCGTGCGACCAGGAAGCCAGCAATTTCAAGCATGCACTTGCTTGGTGCTGAGCGCGCTCAAAACCGGGCGGTGCCACAGTGTACAGTAAGCCCCGCTGCCTTCCATCCAGGCCGACTGTTACACTCTGAGCTTTGTAGGCCCCCTACTGTAGACGTATGAGCAGGGGCAGATGTTGTAATTTGGAGATATGTGTGTTGCCAGACAGGCCAATGAAGTGCAGCAGTGGATGTCTGTGGCTTGAGTCCGATGCTGTACAGCTGGTGCCGCAGTAGAAAGAAAAAGGAATGCATAGTCGGAATCTGAAGTGCGTCGTTTTGGGAATCCGACACTCGAAGCTGCAAGTGCAGGCTTCCATCCCGTAGCCCGAAAGCGCGAAGACCGTACATACTTGCAAAATGCTACAGTCTCAGACACAGCTGGAAGCATGCCTTCAACTCTAAACCCTACTCTAAACTAGCATGAACCCTAGCCCTCAACCAGAACCATAAAACCTATACTCCCTAAACCCTGAACTCTAAAGCCAGAACTCTTTCAATTCGGGCGATGCAGAAAAGGAGCTCCAAAAAAAAAGCCAGAACTCTGATCCCCAAAAGCCAACACCCTCTGTACACGATCCTCAGGCCAGCACACCGGTGGTGCGCAGCGGGCGTGCCACGGTCCACTGGTGCAGAGCCCAGGACTTCAAGGATCAGGGGACTTCGGAATTAGGTCATAGGATACGATTAGAGTCAACTCGAGATTATGGCAGTGTGTTGGCAAACCACAAGCGAAGCAGCCGTTGTGTTCGAAGTTCTGTTTGTTCTCAGGTCTTCAATGTTTTCGGGCTTAGGATAGTAGTATGGTGGGTTAGCTTCGGTGAGGTAGATAGTTAATAGCACGTGAACCCCGAGACAAGGGCCTCGAATATGCAGTGTAGCAGCGATGGAGTACAGCTCGAGAGAACTGTCGCAGTTACACATGTCCTAGCCGAATAAGACCACAACCGAAGGATCGACGATCGGGCAACACATGTCTGGAACACAACAACATCAACACCTACCGCAGCACCGTTGGGGGATCTTGTGATAGCACAAGTTGAAGGATGCTTAGCATCGAAACCACAGTTGTTGTGCTGGTCATCTCCGCCGCAATTCCCTGCTGCACCTACTGGTAATACTCTATTTGGTACTGGTGCTGTTTCATTGCTACCAGTAATATTTCTTTCCATAAGGGTGCATGAGTCCAAATCGTATATACATTGGCCTTAAAGTAGTCCCTATATACAGATACTTTGGGACCTTAGGGTTCATTATTGTTACAATCTCGAACCAAAGTCAGTATGGAGACATTTTTGAATGCGAGTCGCACGATCAGTCGCGTCATAAACACGAACCTTGTTCTAAGACTTAATAGATATTGGAGTCTGCAGCATCACACAGGCCAAGCAAACTCCGGCGTGACGGGAAAACCCGGAAAATCTGTTTTTGGAAACGATAACAGCACTGTTCTTGTAACGTACATAGTATAGCACGAAGACGAACAGATGAGTTCAGACCGTCTCAGCTGCGTGACCACATACACAACCGAAGCGAGACTAGCAATGACAATGTTCGACAGTCACTTGAACTCAAGCTGCCAAAAGCTTCGGTTCGTAACACCAAACCTGAATTACCAAGTTGCAACCAGAGTGACAGGGCATCCCTGAGCCCTGGTCCCTGACTGCAGCCATGCAGACACTACTAATCGCAATAGCAATAAGAAAGATTATGATGATGACCACGACGGTGTTGCTGCTTATGCTTCTGACGCTAAAGAAGAGGCGATGGCGATGACGATGAGCAGCAACATCGCAACTAGAATCGCTAGTGTGGCGGCTTGTTAAAGCAGCAGTTATGCTAGCAATAGAGAGCCTGGCATACGAGCCAACCACATTATCAAAAGTGTGTAAGGAACACGGCACAAAGTGCGTAAGGATCGAATCTCAGATCGTACAGAGTCCTAGTGTGGTACCCAACCAGCAGTGAGCAACCGAGGCGAATGTATGGCTTCCGCAAGAAGGCCAAGAAGGATCACAGCATCATCGCTTTGCGCCCAGTTCCGAGACGCGACCATGCCACAATACGAACGAATCCATCAAAACCCTGGAGCTCCTTCATGTTTGCAGATGCAGCTTGGAATCACTGCCAGCCGTGGTAAAAAGAAATATGTAGAATCCCCCAGCCGTGAAGCCAGAACCCTAAACCCCGTAGGTTCCTCACACCCGGTCGAGCTCCTGGTTCTCGAGCCCCCTGTGGGCCACGGCTAGGATACACCGAGATCACCTGCTTTGCATGGATTTACTTTACTTAGGGGTACTTAGAAATAGTTTTTAATTTTTGGTCATTATAATCCCTAAGAAACAGCTAAAATTATAATTTTGGCTAGGGTTCTAAGTTCAGTATAGTTTAGAAGCCCGTAGACCTCGCTTGTAGCACATCTCGGTAGTGGAGCAGCTAATCTTGCAAGTTGCAATGTCAATGACTCTACCAGGCCTACCATGTTTGGAAGGTTAACAGGTTAACTCTTCCGTATTAGGGAATGCGCGCTCTAGACGCTGAATCCCCGGTCCTCAACCCAAAAATCCGACAACCCTCAATAACGGACCCTATATAAACCTTTATCTCGAACTCCACCACCAATCCCTAAACCTTAATCCCTAGACTGTTTAGGCTCCAAACCTCGAGCCCTAAATCCCGAACGTAGGTCACGGCTTGTAACCCCAAACCCTAAACCCAGAAGCCCTTTAAAGTAAATCTTGAAGTGACCCAGACCTTCCAAAATCCCTTAATTAAGGAATATACCTTAAATCATATTAGGGATCCTATTATAATTTAAGGTATATTCCTTAATTAAGGGATTTTGGAAGATCTGGAAGCGATGTCTTCCGAGGATGCCGTGGACCTGACGCTCCCACCAGCGGCTTCCCTGGCATCATCTGGAAGCTCCAGTAAAGTGCTTTTAGTCTCCAGGGCTTTAGGGCTGTGGTTTATTTTATAATATGATAAATCAATAATTTAATAATTGAACAACATAATATTTTAATAATATAGTAAAATAATAATATAATCAATATAATTTGTTGAGGTTTCTGGGGAAACCCTAAAAGAGGGCTTTCAAGCTCCGTCGCCTTCCGGGCTCGGGTTTGAGAAGTCTAGACTTCAGGAGTTCGGGGGTTTAGGGGGCTTTGAGGGTTTAGGGGTTAGGGGTTTAGGGGTTTAGGGATTAGGGTTTAGGGTTTAGGGGTTAGTTAAGGCTTTCAGGTTTTGTGTTCCAGGGATTTAGGGGTTTGGGTTTTTGGGTTTAGGGTCGTGCGGTCTAGGTTCCAGGGTCTTATAGCTTTAAGAAGATTTCTGTTTTTGGGTTCGACGGCAAGTTGAGAGGCTTGCAATCGTAAGCTTTATAAAGGCGGCAACGAAAAGAGGTTTGCAGTTGGAAGTTCAGGAACTTAAGGGTCTGGAAACCACTTTAAGTTTAGGGTCTTTGGGGTGTTTCGGGGTGAGGTCGTTTGGTTTCGGCATGGGTGCACGAACTATACTGTTCGTGGTTCTCTTGAAGGTGTGTGAGGTGCTTCTGCAAGCATGTCGAAGTGCCTTGTGGAGCTTGAGTGTAAAGCGGGCCAAATTCCTCCTAAATTCACCTCCAGGATTGCGCTGTAGGTAGAAGTCAGCTGAATTGTGGAACATGAAACCCTAAAACCAGCACGTGACGTAATTAGAATCTTCTGGTGTTTAGGGCTTAGGGTTGCGGCTATTGACACGGAGCGGAGGGAGGATCTCACTGAAGCGGAGAGCTCTCCGTGGAGTATGTGCTCGCTTGCGGCCACCTTCGGCCGAATCCCTAAACCACAACTCCGTAAACCCTATGGCCCCATCCCATGACCTATGAGCTTGAATCCCCCAAAATCGCTGTCCTAAACTCTCCAACCTAAACCCGAAGAGTGTAGAGTCGTTAATGGTTGAATCAGGGTTTTGGCGTCTTTTGTAGTACTGCAGTAGAACTATCCGGACGGAGCTGGCGGAAAGATGTTTTGTACATCCTAAACTCTGACCCACAGGGTCCAAGTACCCAAATAGTAGGGTTTCAGGTCCCAAAATCCAGACTCTGAATGGTTGTTGGACCTTGAAACCCTACTATTTGGGTACTTGGACCCTTAGGGTGAACCCTAAATCCTAAACTCTGGGGCCGACTTAACCCCTTATAGAACTCCTGAAGGGATACTATTGGTGATTGTTTACGCTGCCTTTGTTTGGCCTCGATGCTTGGAGGATCATGGGACTTGGTATGTCAGGCTCTAAGTACTGTTGTTGGGGCTACAAGTATAAGTACAAGCACAGTTGCCTTAGCACCATCCGTGCTACTAATTACATAAGTGCCCTGACCCTTTAAATGAGGTCGAATATCAAACCCGGGCCACCTGGATGGACCTGCCGGGCTCGGTTCTACAACCGCTCGCGCAGGCGTTCGTGGTTTGGGCTTCTAGGGTAAAGGAGCCCTCAAGCCCAAACCCTAAACCCCAAAGCGATTTGGAACGGTTTTGGGATTTAAGGTTCTTCCTTAACCCCAAGTAACCTACCCTTTTAAGGACTTATATAAAGAAACCATATTGGGGAACCCTAAAAAGGTAGGTTCCTTAGGGTCCAGGTTGGGTCTGTAGGGGACTCCGGGTTCCAGGTTTAGACTTCAGCCTTCAGGAATTTCGGGTTTGAGGTTTGTCTTGCAAGGACTATGACCCGAAGAGCTCAACACCATGAACTACGGTATCTGCCTAGAGAGGGGTGCGGCACATCAGTACATGTCCCTAAACAGGAGATATTGGATTGTTTTGGTAGAAAAGATGAGTGAAGTACGAGGAACAGTGTGAGTAGGACTCCTGAGTTCCTCCTGGCAAGCTGGCGGCCACTGTGCAAAGACGGTTTAGGGTTTAGGGGTTTAGGGTTTAGGGGTTTCACGAGCACACCTTCCATGGAAACTGCCTTGCTTCCAGTTCGTCCTTGTGCTCCGTGATGCGCGCTTGTGCACGGAATGTAGGGATGGTTGGGCATAGGGATTCGGACTGTCGGAGTGTATAGCTTCGGAGCTTTCAAAACTTCCGGATCTTCGTTCTTATCAAATCTACAAAGTTAGCCATAAAGCCGGTATCAAAGCCTACAGCTTCACGCGCTAAGCACTTAAAGGATCATGGGACTTAGTAATTGGGGTTATAAGTAAGGTAACTGCAGTTGTAGTTGCATATAACCTTAACTAAGGTACTCATAACCGTATTATAGCCCTGCTTACTAAGTCCCATGATCCTCCAAGTAGTGGACTCCGTCAAAACCCCGCCCCGGAAGGCCGGATATTCAGTCGATCGGGGGGCTCTCCACGCCCTGGAGCACGCGGGAAGCCGAGTTCTTGCAAGGTTATTTTAAAGCGGATATACTCAGATGTGCCCCCTAACTCTACTTTGATGATTAAGGCCCCTACATTGGGGTTAGGGATCACTGAAGCCTCGCACGCTAAGTAAAGTTACCCGGGTGGTGTGTTGTCACGAACGCTAGATTAGACGATAGATACATTGAAAATATGCAAGGTCATAACTCAAGAACCAGAAAACTGCTACTTTGCAGAGAATGATGACCCCGGAGACATTGACGCAGCACAAGACTGAGGACAAGGTTAGTGTCGTGACATCGGACCGTTTTGATGTTCTTGGGGCATTGAGGGCTTGAGAGGTTGCAGGTTGCTGGCGCTTGAGTTTAGGGTTCAGGATTTGGGGTTATCCGCAATCAGAACCTTTGAAACCCGCACCCTGAGTACTGCCCGCCACTCAATAACAGGTGGATAATCCTTATAATATAGACATATATTAGGCTCTGAATAGTAGCCTATTATAGACCGTTACTGTATGGTTATGGGGGCAGTACCCAACCCGCACCACAGGCCATGATAGCAATGGCACCACTCTGCTGCGATGTGGAGGCTCTCGACTCGTGTGGACCCACTGGGCTTGAATTGTGTGCCCTCGGGCAGTACCTATAGTCTCCATTGTAGTTCCTTTTTCGTTTACAACAATCTCTGTTATAAGATCCTAACCAAAGACTTGGTTAACCAAAAAATGGAACTACAATGGAGACTATAGGTATGCAGTCGTCCCGGTGCAGGGCAGCGGGTCTGATCGTTCGTTGTTTGTGTGAGTGTACCAGTAGTTTACCTACATTCGCGATTTTCCTCGGAACCCCTGCCATCCGAGGGCCAGGGTGATTTCGTGCGGAGGTGATGGAGCTTTCGTGCCAGCACACCCGCCGGGACAGCGATCCGAATCGAGCAGCTGGCATGATTCAGCAAAAGTTGTGAAGTCTGTGTGCAAGTTTGTTGTCACTGCGTCTGTCCAACAGTCAGTAGAAGAACGTGTGAAAATTCGTAAACCAATACCTATAGTCTCCATTGTAGTTCCTTGCTTTGGTTAACCAATTTTCTGGTTAGGATCCTAAAATGGAGGTTTTGGTTAACCAAAGAAAGGAACTACAATGGAGACTATAGGTAGATACAAAGTTGCATCAGAACAGATTACAAGGAACTGCAAGGAGGCCTGTAGTCTTCACAGGTTCTGAATGATGGCAAGCCCTGAACCTTAGCCTTAAACCCTAAATCGTGCTGAAATGACCTGCGAACATCTTTACGCACATATTGACATATTGAAAGTAGTGTCGTGATTGCAGGGACGATGCTTATTCACGTAGCCATGAAAGCCTAGGCCCACACCTTACGGTATGCCATTCGCCATGAACCGTCAATCCTCTGAATCTTGCACCCTCAAGCTTTCCCGTATTGTCGCCAGGCTACTTCCTCCTGCTCTACGAGCTTCAGAAAGGAGGTGGAATCCCTGCGGATTTAGGGTTTAGGGTGACGGCCACGATGGGGACATGGCGTAAGACATAATACTCGGCCCTCCCTCCCACCCAGGCGCATGCGCAATTACAAGTAAGACCTGAAGCACAACCCGAAAGCCCAACCAACCTTAGTCCCAAACTCTAAGCCATAATCCCGAAACCTGAAAAAGGACAACACAGCCTGAATCTTGATCAACATTTCAACAAGACTTTAATACCTTCCTGAATCGTAAACCGTGAACCCTAAAAGCCTACAGAAGAGTGTTCCTGGGGCTTGCGGCGTTAGGGTTCGGGGTTTACCTATAGTCTCCATTATAGTTCTATTTTTTGTTAACCAAAATAGCTCCTAAAAAACCCGTGTTAGCCGCAGGCAGTGGGGCCTCTGACAAAGTCTACAAAGGCCAGAGCCCAGCCGGATGGAGCTTTCAATCTTCGCCGGATGTCTGGCTTGATGGGTGTAGGGTTTATGGGTTTTAGGGTTTTGTCGATTTAGTTTAGCTTTGTGATTTTTTGCATCAGCGTTTAAGGACGTCAGAAACTTGAGCCCTAGGCCCCGGAAGAGATTTGATTTGTTAGTTGGGGTTTGACAACACCGAGGCTTTTCAAGCACAAGACCAAATTTCGTGGTTGGAGTCCTGATGGTCGAATATCACCCAGAGCCTACGTACTCTAAATACGATAAGGGAGTTTCCGGATATTAGGGGTACCTGATTTGGGGGTCCTTACAATAAGGATCCTACTCTTTAGGGTACTATATCAGGGTCCCCTATTGTCGGAAACTCCCACAAGGCTCCCATGCTATGCTACAAGAGCTCTGTTCATCACTAGCAACGTATACAGCTCCCTTGCATCACGCACTGCATTACGTAATTTGTTACTTATATAGCACTATGCATCTGCCAGTGCCGTGAGCTGCCCAAGGGCTTTTAAACACCCCGCCAAGCAAGTGATCTATAAATGGCCTGGGCTTATCGTTTAAGAGTGCCCGCGCGGGTTCTGGAATCTACCGAGAGGCTCCATAGTAGTTCCTTCTGGGGGTTCATATTTAGAATCCTATAAGGTCATCCCAAAAAGGAACTACTATGGAGCCTCTAGTTGCGGCAGAGTCCAAACATGTGCATACTGGGAGCTTCATAAAATCAGGAGGACCTTGATATTGAGCCCGACATGAGGGAGATCCTGGCTCGTTTCGTAAGGACCCCTAAGTAGAGCACCCCTACCTTAAGAAAGCCCGCACGCAAAGAGTGAAGTGCCCCAGTTAGCAGCGATTCTGCCAGGCTGGGAAGAGCTGCTGTCGCAGGCTGTGCGACTCATGAAGGTGCACTGAGCTTGGCGTTTGTGATTCCCGAAGAAGTTTCGGGTCTCCCTCAAGTCCTGCCCAAGTCCTTGCGTCCTAAGCCGTTCTGTGCTACGCGAGTGGTGGCTTTGGGGCTGTGGTGCTCTGGACTTTGACAATGTAAGAAGTTCAGGCTTGCAGTCGACTTGTTGGCGGTTGAGTGCAGACTGTTCAGGGTTTAGGGTAGGATTTGGGGTGTATGCCGGATCTAGTGAGATATAAAGTTCTTCAGACTTTAAATTAGACAGTCAGTTGTATTCATTGTAGAAAGTCTCATGTTTAAGATTTGGCGGGTACGGCTATCCGGGATTTGGCGTTTGTCTTGGACCAAGAAGCCCAACACCGAAATCCCAACATTTTGCGCTCCGAACCTTTAACTCGCAGCTCCCGCAGGAGTGCCCCTGTGAAAGCGGCTGCCCCAACTGCATTGTGGCACCTTGGCGCTCCTTATTCGTATGCTTGCTGCTAGAGATACATAGATATCCTATCGCTGCTACTTCTTACGATTGTTTAATTGCTGGGTACTGCGCAGCTTGGGGAAAACCTTGCTCCCGCCATCACCCCACGTTCAGCGCAGGGGCTCGGATTCAAGCCAGAGTGTGGTGTGCGTTTGGACTCATGGGGGACAGGGGCTGGTTTTTATATGGAGCCTAAGGGATGTTCCTGGAGTGGCCTTTCAGGTTTGCACTGCTGTAGGCGTCGTCATTCTTTGGGGTGGCTTCTGGCATACATGTTTTTGCGGCTGTTTAATAAGGACGGACTAGGTCGCCGAAAGATTAAACAACAGCTCAAGGTCGGCCTCATACTGCCAGGAAGTAATCAACCTTCTAAATAGGGACCCCACATCCGTGGAAAGGTCTTATAAAGCTGTATAACTGAAGAACGAAGTGCTTTAAAACCCCGCTGCAGTCTTTATAACACCTCATGTTTGGAAACACCAATAGTCAACAAACCCGATAAGCCCTGTAAGCCCTAGACGTGAAACCCTAAACCTTTACCCTCACCTAAACCCTGGATGCGGTGTGTCCTAGTAGTAGAGTAGGTAACCATTAACCTTTTTTGGGGTGCTATATAATCCCTATATAACCAAAGAGGTCAACCTTTAGTTCCCCATGATACCCGACTAGTAGGGTGTCTTCATGGCTGTGGCAGATCTCCGGCTGCGGAGACTACAACCACGGTATGGGGCCGAGCAAGGTCCTTTCAAGCCTCACTGGTACCGGTCCCCTTCAAGGGAACTATAGGGTTCCAAAAGAGGGTCCCTTGTAAGGGAACTGTAGGGTTCGATAATAATAGTCCCTTTTAGGGGATGCAAGAGGGTGCCTTCAAGGCCTCCTTCAAGGGGATCAGGGTTATCGGGGCACTATAAAGGCTCCTTTACAGTGTGCACTGTATATACAGGTTTGTTCCAACGGTTTATTAGGGGTGGTTTTATCAAATTCTGCAGGCGGTGCTAGTGGGTGCGTAAGGTTTACTGCTTAAGGTTTGGAGACCAGCTTGGGGCTGTGGGCCTGCGCAGTAGGGTCCAATGTTTCGGGTCGGGGGACCTTTTGAAGATCAAACTGCCGAGGACCACTACAGGTCTGGGGGGTATCTGCAGTATAGCTTATAGCTACGATAAGCGGGTGCGATTACTCGCCATGCAAACCTCTACCTTTGTTGACCTGGGAGAAGCCGTGTATCGCACTTCAGCGATCGCCTGACAAAATATTCTTCGTTTTGCGTAGTCCGAAGCGGTAAGGACCAATCAACATCTGTCTTAAGCTGTCTACACCTTTCATGTAGCTCCTGTAGGAGCCTTTAATAATTCCCCATACTGTCTTGGGGGGTTCCTTATCATAGATGTAGCAGAATATATTCCAAAACCCTATTCTAAGTATGAAGGCCCCTATACCACAGATCCCTATTGTAGATCCCTTTAAAGGAACCCTATTCTAATTCTTAAGGACCCTATATTACACAAGCCATGTTGATGGTTTCTCCAACCCCCCCCCCCCCCACTGGTGCCTTTGAGGCCTTGAGAAGGCAGGTGCCCTGAAGATCGGTCACCATCTCAGTTTAAGGTTCAGGGCTTTAGGGTTTAGGGTTTTAGGGCTTTGGGGGTTTAGAGTGTAGGGTTTTAGGGTTTAGGGCTTTAGGGGTTTAGGGTTTAGGGTGTAGGGTTTAGGGTTTAGGTTGGGATAGTCATAGTATAGATAATTCTAGGACCTTAATAGTAGCCCCATTACAGACTCTTACAGTATAGGGGCAGTACCTAAGGTTCAGGGCTTGTCAGGAGGTTTTTGCGAGTTCAGGCGTTCCAAGGTGTGTGTGTGTGTGTGTGTGTGTGTGTGTGTGTGTGTTCATGCTGGCTTTTTTTGAGGAGGGGGGGGGGGCCTTACCCTAAAGGCACAATGCTGAAGCCTACACACCCTATAGACCTTAAGTTACTCTTGCAAGGAAGCTGTCGGTATCAAGGTTTGTCGACGGAATCCGGAGCTCCGTGTTTATGTTGTTGCAGGCAGTCCAAGGGTTGTGCGGGCTAAGTCTAGGATGCTTACAGCTTTAGGGCTCCCCCGGGGGGTTGTGGGTCTAGCGAGCTTTAAAGCTTTAGGCTTTAAGGGCACTGGGTTGAGCATTTGGGGTCTGGTTGAGTCGTGGGTTTGTGTGCATGTAAACTGTAAACCTAAGTTTACATTTTATTCTCAGTCCACCTAGACCTACAAACTCTCAAGCATGAAGCCTGGAACCCTATAGGAGACGAGCCGAAGGTTGCACGGAAGCTTTCCTTGTCTGCACGGATGTTCAGAATTCGGGGAATTCGGTGTTGAGCATGCTTAGTTTGGGTTTGGGGTTTGAGGCTTCTTTGACTTACTGCTCAGGGTCCCCAGGATTTAGCATTCCGGTATGTGGACTTTCTATCCGATGTAGGGAGGCTGGGGTTTCCGGAATGTTTGCTGAATCCTGTGGCCAACACTTTCTTGCTTCTCCCATGCTCTCCATGGTCTCTAGGTGAATGAAGAACTGCGAGCCTCATGAAGTCGCATCAGGCTAGCCCTACACATTATTCGTAGTATTAGCATTGTAGTGAAGGTCGAAATCTTTATGCTAGTTCTCTCGACCCTTACAATATACTAATAAACTCTTCAGTACCACAGGCTGGAGGACAGTGAACTCTCGGTGCCCTTGATCTGAAATCTGAACCCCAAAACCCAACCCTTACACCTCAAACATCAAACCCTATCAGGTGCAGCACTTGGCTACGGAGGCGACGTCGCAACTCCGAGCGAAACAGCTGGGCCGAAGGACCCTTCGAACTTGGTCTATGGCTCAGGTTGGAGGTTGGGGTTTCGGGTCGGGATGTACCGTTTAGGGTCTACGGGTGAGGTTTGATTTAAGATTTTCTGCTCGGGATAATGGTCGTCATACGCTTGGGGGTTCATGTAGGGTTCGGGTTGCGGGTTGAAAGGACCGCAGAAATAGAAACTCTTCATGAATTCCTGGAGCTCACTTTTCCTCAACACCCTTGGAGGTGTAACCATCGAATAGTTCTTCTTATCAATGCCATGATTCCGGCAGGCATGACTTTCATGTTGAGCTTTATGTGGATGTCCGCCCTAGCAAGGGCCGCGAAGGCCTAGATTCTTAGATCCCCTTCTATCCTGCACGCAAACTCTTGAACCCAGCATCGAACATTTCGGCGCATACCGCCTCACGAAGCCCTGTCCAGTCCATTATGCCATTATGTGCGAGGACGCGGCAGACCATGCGGGGGCAGCTGACAGCGCCACCAGCACGATGCCGCTGAGCCGTACCAGCGTCATGTTGCTATGTTCGGCGACAGGACGGATAAGGGCGTCTGCAGGGAGATCAGCTAATGAAGCTATGAAGCCCTCAAGCGCCTACAGTATATACAGCAGAGACCATAAGCCCCAAGCCCTGAACTCTATAACCGAAACCTAAACCCCAGGACACTAAAAAATTTGTTGCCGGAATAAGTACGAATATTTTTCTTCACAGTTCCCTACAAATTATAATACATCATTATATACGAAACCCCAAACTCCTGAACCTCTAGCCCTAAAAGCCCCAGAACCTATCCCAGGCCGCAGCCCAAGCTGCCCCCCCGGCCGAAGAAGACTTTCGCCCAGTGCTTCAACTGTGGCGGAGGCGCTCTGGCAAGGGAAGACCGGGTGTTCCTTTAAAGGGTTCCTTGAAGGGGCCTATAAGGGATGTATGGGCTCCATTAAGGGATCCTATAATGGTATTAAAAATTTGGTCTATTTTGGGGGTTCCTGGTTGAATAATTATAGTATAACGGGCCCCCAAACCCTAATTATCAAAGCCCCTATAGTGGGATATACCTGAACCCCAAACAATCTACCGTCAAACTTTGCCAGATTCACGGGAGAATGTGGAAGAGAACGTTGGGACGGCCCTCAAATGAAGCTTCTGACACATTGCGACCCCCAAGATGCAAAGGGTAGATTCCGAAAATGGGGGGCCCTAATATAGTACCCTAATCCTTAGAATAAGGACTCCGAAATAAGGTACCCCTAATTTTCGGAAACTCCCATATATACACACACCTTCGAACACCTGCTTTTACAAAACAGGAGGTGAATGTCCCTAAATACTAACCCTAAGCCCTGACCTTTGGTTAGTAGGGAATGGAAGAATGGTAGTAATAGTAGGTAGTTTATAATTGTACCCCATTCCTCCATTCCCTACTAGCTAAAGGTAAGTAAATACCCTAAACCTGGAGGACACAAGAGTCCCCTCGGATCCGCTCTTTGCAAACAACCCGCCGATGCTGCAACTCGGAACCCTAAGCCGACCCCAGGCCCTAAATTCTGTGATGAAGCCGCCAGACTGGCCGTGCCAGCGAGACCTCCTACTGGTAGTATGTATCAACTTGTCTCCAAGACGATGTTTTCTGAACGACACTAGCACTCATACCGGAAATATCGCAATGGATCCTCGGAACTCCAAGTAGCGTCGTGGCCCAACCGTGGAGGGCCCGAGTCCTTCGCCCAAAAGCCCTGGAACGCTAAACATACCACTATGCGCTATTAGACCATATGGGTACCTTAATCTACCCTTAATAGAGTCCTAATAGGGATCTTTAGGGTATAATAGCCCATAGTGGTAGTTGCCTCAGTCCTAAAGCCTCCCCACGCCCAAGAAAATGCCTAGCCCCGAACCTGCAATGCGTCCGAAGGACAGGCCGCACAGAGCGTTTGCATGGATTTGGACTGAGCCATCTAGCAGTCCTCTGGCGGCTTTGAAGACGATCTTGCAGGGTTTTCATTTTTGGCTCTTGGGGTTTCGGGTCTACACTACAGGGTTTAGGGATTCGGGTTTAGGGTTTACAGTGTAGAATTGAGAGTTAGAGGTTGGTGGGTTTAGGGCTCCAGTCTTGTTTCGGGGTAGGGGTCAAGGGAGACAGATAAGTCAGATAGGCATGCTCTTTAGGGGGGGCTGCTAACGGTTCGGGGGTTGTGGATTCTACCCCGTACTAGTATGGTGATGATGACGATGATGCTGGTTACTTCCATGATGATGGTCAACATCATGATGAAGTGATGGAGGTAACATTTATATTTGCTTCAGAAGCCGTGAGTCTTGCTGAGCCTGCTGGGGGAGTCACACCGTAGGATGTAGGACTAGAGCTTCTGGGGCAAGGCGTGATGCCAGCATTGTTCGAATTTACTGCTCCATGTAAGGTGTTCCGTTTCAAGATGTTCACTTGGAAGAGAGACTGTTCGCACATGGGCCCTGGAAACGACCATAGCACAGACCTGACATATGCGCCAAGAATGTTATCTTTCGAAGATCACTGTAAAAAGCACACGTAAGAGCCGTTCATCCATTTGTGTTTCGGTGAGAGTTTCGCGCTGAGTTCTCCTAGATTTTGGGGCCCTAAACCCTAAACCAAAAACGAGTGCATGGCAGAGGACTACGGCTTTTCACATTGCCTCGCCTTGGAAGCTTCGAGAGTCAGGGCTCTACTCAGGGGCCAGGATGGCACTCTTCACCGGGGGGGATATAATTATGCACTCTATTATGTGCCATAACCATAATATGCCATTACAAGTACCAGTTATTTTGCTTCGCCAGTGCACTATATAACTATCATATGCGACCATAGTATACTGTTACTATCATCTTCTATAACCTGCTGGTGATGCCCTCTTCGTGAGAGTGTCTTGGAGTGTCTGTGGCTGAGCTTTCGCTGAGCTCTCAGCTCACCCTGAGTTTGTCAGCCGATGTGACGCGCTGAGGGTGAAAACGTGGTGAGAGCTTAGCCAGGTTTAGCATGTAGGGGTCGAGATTTTGTTTGCGTTTCGTGTGCGGTTGCTGCCGTATCATGCCGGGACCCTGGAAACTTGAGCCTACCTATAGTTTCCATTGTAGTTCCTTGTCTGATTTACAGTACTTATTCCAGGATCCTTTATAAACCGGGTCAGCCACACACAGGAACTGCGATGTAGACTGTATCCTTGAAGCCTTTCTTCGCCCGTCCAACCGAAACTTGAACCATTCAGGCCATTATTCCTACTTGGAGGTTCAGGGGTAGTAATAAGTGGGTTCATAAGTCCCGTAATACAGGTAGTTAGCTTACTTATAACCCCGCTTATAACTCCACATGAACCTCCAAGTACTTGCCTCTCAGGCCGTGCTGTGGCGTAATCCGTACAGGTCACATTCGCCTTACTTCAGCGGCGTCAAACTTTCCAACTTACGGGGTTGTTGCATGGGTGGGCGGGTAGGGGCTCTACACACAGCAGACACTTCCAAGCTATTCTCGGTGTAGAGCATCATTTCGCGCGGTCACTGGTCTGCGGTTTACAGAATAAACAGATGCTTGTGCATATGCTCAAGTTATGTTATATGACATACGGGTTGTTGTATGCTTACAACATGCTTTGTTGCAGTTTACTGTAGCACAACAGGATATTGCGCAAACGTGCTATGTTCAATCTCGTGCTGTTGTATGGTGTATGATGAGAGCGTGCCCATGAAACGTGATATGATCCTATGGCCTTATCAAGTTCCAGAGTAGTGATGGCTTGCAGGAGGAAGATATCTGCAGAGATTTGTTTTTTATTTAAGCGGCTCTCAAGGAAGAAGATGTACTCTGACTTGAAAGCTAGTCTTCGGGTGTAGGGATCAGGTTTTAGCGTTTAGGGTTTGAAATCAGTCTCTGGGGATGCTTTGTTCCCATCTTGTACGGCTTCTGACTGCCATATGCCATACGTCTTCTGTATAATGTTACTTTGATGACGGCGCAGTAGTATGTGAAATCTTGCGCATTTCGGCTTGAGGTTACAATTGCCCAAATGAGAAAAGTTGCAGCCAACCTATCCAAAAACCAGCTATGCGGCACACAATCCACAGGCCCACCTCAACCCAACAGGGAAGATCTTTAGAGGCAGGCTGGCCCAGTCAAGACTACCCTGTCGTGTGCAACGCGGATGAGCGCCCATAGGTAAAAGTGGTACTTGTCCTTTTACCCCGCCAATCTCCAAACTCCCCAAACCTCTCGAACGGCTCCAGCACACACACCTCTCCCAGAACCACCCGCTAGCCAACTCCGACGAATCCTTCATGGACCACGGTATAGGGTTTAGCCTTTTCACAAAAGCCCATCAGTGCTGATCTGCAGCCATGAAATCCATTGCACAGCGTAGCACGGCCACGCTGTCTTTGCAGGCAGTGGCAGCTGCTTGTTCAAGTCTAGACGCTTGGTCAGCTTACATAGGAGCTGCAATAACTAGCTATGCTTTTGCATGCGGCACTCTGCAAATACCTAACTGCGGCAACTAACTGCTGTCAACTTTTTTTCCTGGGGCTCATTGCTGCCATGAGGCGCCAGAGAACCCGAAGCAACATAGAGAACCGGAAGCTATCCATATGAGTAGTAAGGAACAACGAGATGCGGCACCGAGTTTCTAGATGTTCACGTTCCCGCCCCCGCTGTTACTGTTGTGACATATCAGAATCATCTGACTGAGCCTTCGATGCTACACAAACCCTGAATGCTAAGGGCCTTCTGTAAACCCCAAACCCTAACGCCTAAAGAACCGGTGAGCCGACTCGGGCAGGCGCACAAAGAAGGCCGTCAACCTAACTTTAAAAAAAAGAACCGGTGATCAGACTATTCGAAGGAAGGAGTACAATCCTAGGTCTTCGTAGCTGCACAACGCAATCCGCTCGATGTAGGAATTTCCTGTACATTCATAACTGGATCCTTACTCCAAATTTAAAGTATGTTCTTTGATTACGGGACACATTCATGCGGGTGGTTGTCAAAGTTATGGTGCCTTTTGGGTCCTTATTATTGTACGGCACCTAATATTTAATGTATCCAAAAGGGACCCTAATTTTGACAACTAAGCTCGAGATGAGCCTGCTGGAGTTTCTGTGTGCCGGGAATTTAGGTTGGTGTGCCGTGGCTTTTCTGAAAGTGCAAAGGCATACATTCCTAGCGCGGGGGGTTGATTACAAGCTTAGGTGAGCAGGCCACTTGCAGAACCCCGAACTCTGAGCCATTCCTCTTGGCTTGGAAGCCTTAAACCCTCAGTCTTGAGCACTTGAACGCTGACCCCAGAAATCCACCGAACCTCTGAACTACATGTCCATTGGCAAAAGCCATGTGACACCAAATCCACAAGCCACTCAACACCAACCACACCTCACATAACGCGGAGGTCTGTATTTTCAGATCCTGCTTTCGGTTGCAAAAATTGATATGAAATCAAGAGTATACTATTCTAAAGTATACTGCGGCTGCTACATTGCACCTTCAGCCTCAAATTAGACGCTGCATGTTACATATCTTATACTCTTATCTCCTGGCTTTGTGTTCACTTGCCGCAGGCACGGCAGTTCTGCGAGGATGCTCAGGTGCCGGGTTGATATCTTGGCAAGCCTCGACCGGCTTCGACGAAATATCAGAGCATCATTATTATGGTGTAGGTTAGTACTAGTTACTAGTATGGTTCATTTTCATCAGTTTCTATTTTTTAAGTACTAGTATGATCTTGCTTCTTAGAATGTGGTGGTACTGGGATCGTGGTTCATGGTGATAGAAGAAGCGCTAGCGTGACTGCTTATGGTGCTGTTGGTAGTTTTGCTGCAACGATTGACCTGCACTCTTCCACATATGAATAGAGCCCTGACTCGTTTGTAGTCCTACATGAATTTGGATTGCTGGTGGCTTGTTAACTTTTCGCGGATCAAACCTTCGGGGGCATGAGGAGCCAGGAAGACCAGAAACCCCCACATTCGGATGAAGGCCCTGCGGGGTTTGGTGGCGCAGACGCCTTTCAAACTGCACGGTTCTCACAAGACTGGAACAAGCTAGCTTGGCAATATGGAAGCGAGCACATCAGCCAGCAGCCCTCGCGAGATTCGATGGGTTGGTTTCCAACCCATCGAATCTCGCGAGGAAGGCATGCCAGTCGATGAGTCGCGAGCTTGTACGTTTACCTCCACAGATCTTGGTGCAGCCGGAGTAAACAGGAACAAGGGCACATCATGATGATAATGATGGTCATGACGGCGATGATGAGGATGATGACGATGGTCATGACGGCGATGATGATGATGATGATGCTATAATGGTGACGGAGAAGGCGGTATCCGTGGTGGTGGTGGTGGTGGTGGTGGTGGTGGTGGTGGTGGTGGTGGTGGTGGTGCAGATCTTCGTATAGATACGAAGAGAGCCCAACACCCTTCTAAAAAAGATTGCACGTAACATCATACTGAGGGCTCCTGAATGGGCGTTCTGATTTCAAGTGCAACGAGCTCTCTGGTTGATAGATTTTGCGATACTTGGCGCAGGTGCGCATGCACTTCTGAGAGACAGATCAATTTTAAGCATCATGGGAACCTGAATTATGTTACCGTACACGCTACCCCAAGACCCTACCCTTTGGTTGAGCCGTGCGAAAACCTTACAGCAAATTTGCTATCCTGACAATGACAGTGCGAACGAGAGCACAAGTCGTAGCGACTCAAGAGAGGTGAAGAGCAGTCACAGCAAGATAACAATCCTATGGGGTTGATGGTTTCTAAGAGCCTATAAACATTTACCAACATCATTTCTTCACTAGGGTGCCTCAGTATACTTGGTTAGCTTTGTATGCCCAAAACCCGTTCTGATCATTACAGCCTCTATGTTGGCCATGTCCTACGCACTAACAATATGGCTGCAGTTTCTACGCTACTAATGGGAGTGCTGCTGCCACGCACACTGCATGAAGCCATCAACGGAAACAGCGAGAATACGAATATCCTTTGCAGACAGACGCGATTGAAGTTGTCATGCCAACCATGTAACAATCAATACCCTCAAAGTTGCGCCTACAGAATTCCCAGTAGAGAGGGCATTGCCTGAAACAAGCAAGAAGTTCAAGAATCACAATCTCATGAACATATCAGCAACGTTGGTCTGAACCAAACAAAGTTGGCCAGCCTGGCACGACATCACACAGTCATGTCTATGTCATGTCACCGAACAACAAATTGATCAGCCATCTTAGGGTCTTAGAGGTTTCAACTTAGGCCTCAGCCGTAGTACCAGATCTGCAATGAATGAACACCTGAAACCCTGCTCCCTACCCCCCACGTCCGTAATCCTAATCCCCGGTCCCAAAAGCCGAGACTGTGCACCTTCGCAGGCCCTGTCAGCCCTGAGCATTAATCCTTAAGCGTGACAAACTGTGAAGCAGCATGCCCTTTGAAGTCATGATAGAATGCATCTAAGACCCACAAAGCCGCCTGAACTTGCGAAACCTTGAGGTGCAGCGCTTTGCTTTGCTCAGTGCGGCCTTCATTTGCATCTGGGCTTGCCTGGGAGGAGGTAAAGAGTGAGCCACTCCAGATAATCAGGGACCCTCCACAAGAACGCTTCCGAAAACCCTCCATGCCCAAGCTACTACCCGTGATCGTCGTCGTAGTAGTAGTAGTAGTAGTAATAGTAGTAGTAGTAGTAGTAGTAGTAGTAGTAGTAGTAGTAGTAGTAGTAGTAGTACTAGCAGGGGGAGTAGGAGTAGGAGTAGTAGTAGTAGTAGTAGTCGTCGTCGTAGTGGTAGTAGTGGTAGTAGTAGTAGTAGTAGCAGCAGTCGTCGTCGTGGTGGTGGTGGTGGGCAGTGGTGGAACAAGAAGCATTAGTACTAACACTAGCAATCGTAATGGTACGGGTTCTGGCAGTAGTATTGGTAAAAGTGCTCGCAACAGTCATGGTAATGGCGATAATAATCGTCGTGACAGTAGACTCAAGCTATGCGACCACGAAAAAAGTTCACTATCCGTGCAGATTTCAAGCAAATCCAAACAACTCAAGTAGGCCGGAGAAAACTTTGTATTACTGGAGGCACCAATGCAGTAACGCTAACGCATTACTTACACCCAAGCTATGTCAGGAGTGCCTGTGGTTGAGACTCGGGTCCTTCATGTTTTGACTTGCGGCCGCGACGATGCTGAGACTTCAATTCTCTTCTGCACCCTCGTCGCACACAACATCAGCGCCAAAGCAAGACTATTAACTCCAAACGCATTCAAACAAATGCTCCTGATGCTGCTCGCTCGAAGCTAGGTTGGAGCTGATGCTCATGATGCTCGCTGCTGGGTTTCTCCAGCTGCTACTTGTTTGTGATGCTGTGATGCTCGATGCTCCAGCTGATGCTCATGATGCTCGTTGCTGGTTTTGTCCTCTCCCGACGCATTCCGGCTGATGCTCATGATGCTCGCTGCTGGTTTTTGCCCTCATCGGGCATATTCGAGCTGATGCTCATGATGCTCGCTGTTGGTTTCTGCCCTGATCGGGCACATTCGAGCTGATGCTCATGATGCTCGTTGCTGTTTTTGTCCCTCCCCAGCACACTCCAGTAGATGCTGATGATGCTCGCTGCTGGTTTCTGCCTTCATCGGGCACGTTCGAGATGATGCTCATGATGCGCGTTGCTGTATTTTGTCCCTTCCCGGCACACTCGAGCAGATGCTCATGATGCTCGCTGCTGGTTTCTGCCCTCATCGGGCACGTTCGAGCTGATGCTCATGATGCTCGTTGTTTTTATTTGTCCTTCTCGGTACACTCCGGCTGATGCTCATGATGCTCGCTGCTGGTTTCTGGCTTCATCGGGCACATTCGAGCTGATGCTCATGATGCTCGTTGCGGTTTTTTGTCCCTCCCCAGCACACTCCAGTAGATGCTCACTGCTGGTTTCTGCCCTCATCGGGCACATTCGAGCTGATGCTCATGATGCTCATTGTTGTTATTTGTCCCTTCCCGGTATATTCCAGCTGATGCTCATGATGCTTGCTATTGGTTTCTGCCTTCTCCGCACTCGAGCTGATGCTTGCGATGCTGAAGGTAGGGTTTAGGGTCCTCCAACCCAGTAGCCTTCACTGTAAGGATGCAGCATTGGGTACACAGCTTGAGGTGTGTCTACCTGCAGGTGTGTACGCATTTTCGCTGTAAGTGCTCGTTCGGAGATCTTGCAACGATACCCACACATCCTGGATGACAAGCCGTTCGGTTAAACTTAGGTTTCACCCACTATATCAATTTTTCAGCAAGACACCCTAAACCAAAGTTTGATTGTTGCAGAACAATCTCTTAAACCATACAAAACCGTTGTGACAGCTTTGAACCAGAGCATTAGCATGCACTAACCCCAAACCCTAGACGTACTCACTGGACTACCGAGGCTCTATGGAGATCAGCTGCATCATTGAAGAGTATATCTTCGTACCCGACTCGCATTGGGTTTTATACCAGGTCTCGCAGGCTTCTAAGCCGAGGGTTTTGTGGGCTTTAGAAGGTTTATCCGCTAATCGGGGTTCATAGGGCTTTAGGGGGTTGGCTTTAGGCTCGTAGGTAGTGGCTCCCCTGTCGTGTCTTTCATCGGATTTCGGGGTTGTTGGGTTTCGGTACAGCCCTTTTCCCCCTTTTGACGAGGGGTTGCCGATATTGAAACTGAATAATTGTAAATAGCAAAAAGATACTCTAATTCTTGCCGGACATGGGGAGCCAAGCAACGACTGTATGCCTAAAGGTTCTAAAGCTTTGAACCCCCAATGACAGTCTTCCTTTTCGTTAACGAAGCCCTGAACCCTGAACGCACAGAATTGCCCATGACCCTAAAACCAGCGCCGCAAAATGCCCATAGAAACCCGAAGCTCGAAACTCGGAACCATAAATGCAATATTGCAGAAGCCCCAATAAATCGTAGGAGTCTTCCTCGGATTTCCTGAATGTAGTCAACACTTTGTCATATTCTCATATACGACCGAATCACTCGTCTGTCCTATTGTTGAGGCCTAGATAGTAGGATAATAATGACAGGGACCGCTAAATAAGATACTTCTGCTCTCTGAGACCCTCCGATGACTCTGAGGTTGCCCTGCCCGGGTTTCGTGGTTTCTATTGGACCGTCGCCCTGGTCGAACTGGGCGTCTAAGCTCGGATGGAGAAAGCCATGGCTTTGTTTGAGTCTAGGGTTAGGCTTCAGTAGGGCTTGGAGTTTAAGTCGGGTTTATAAAGGCATGAAGGCTTCTGAGAGACAGGGGCGAAGTGATGTTTAGTGGTTCAGAGTTCAGCAGTCAGGAGTTGAATGTTCAGGACTGCATGTTGTTCGTTTCGGCGTTCAGCTTCTTCAAGGCTGTCTAGCGAGCACACGCGATCGCGAGTGAAATTACTTGTGCGGTGTCTCCCTAAACCCTGAAGTGGCAGATCCCATGAATGCAAACAAACAGTGCTTTCTTGTCGGACCTCTCAGACTGAGTGGCATTGCATGATTTATGGCTTGGGGCGTCGGCTTTGGATTGGGATTGTCTTTGATGTTGGGTGAGAGGGTCGGGAAATGTCAGTTAATGCAGCATGTCCACTCTCGGACCTTCGGAGATCCCCTCTGGTGTGCATCCAAAGAATCAGTACCCAAATTGGGTCTCTGGGGCACTAAAAGGGTCTCAGTAGTGAGTTTTAGGCTTCGCACTCTCGTGGACTTGCGAGTTGAGATATTTTGGCAAGGGCCATGGCTTGTGTTTCTTATCAACCTAGCCTTCCTTGAAGCCCCAGACCCTGCTGTCTTCCGTGTCGTGGGGCTTTTGAAAGGACCATACCTTATCAGCCTTATCTTCTTGGTCGATCTTGCGGATGCCGCTGCAAGGGTTTCAGGGCTTTGGAGCATAGATTTGCGGATTTAGTGGTGAAGGGTCGTTGGTTGATAGTTCCGAGTTTCGGGCTAGTCTAGACTACGTTAGAGTCTCCCTCAAAGTAGAAGCCTTCGCAGAGGTTTTTTCGCCGTCTCAGCCATAGCGACTCGCTGGAAGGCCAGCGGAGGGTATGAGCTCTGCAGCTGTGGATGGGGTTAAGGGTTTTCGGGGTTTAGGGTCTAGGGTTTCGGGCTCGCATAAAAGCGTGCTCGTTGCCTCATTGTTCTACTTGGCATTTTTATACTATTGTTCCGTTGTCGCTGCAGCGGGTCCTAGTTGGGAACATCTTCCAAGCAGCGGATGAAGTCTCCAAAATCTAAGCCAAATTCATCTCCAACTGCTGACAAACTCGCCATGCAGAAGCCCAAACAGCCCGAGATATGATAATCAATGATGATTTCAAATCTAGCGGAAAGATGCTGGTGAAAGGCTTTAGACGTGTAGCTGGGGTACTTGGGGTGTCCCCACACCGCTCGCAGGAGTATGGCTTCGTCGGTGCCATGCGGCAGCAGCTTCAGGCCGTCTACCCGGAGCATGTGTAGCTGTGGGAGGGGGCAGTAAAGTGAAGCTTCTCCCTCGACACACCTAGAATCCGATAGAACATCACATAATACAGCACACATTATATAAACCATATTATAACAAAGATAACAACAAGAACAAGAAGATTAACAGAATGTGACGCAGCACCTTGCGGGCTAGGCCGCGCCGAATCTTCCTGGGTGTTGAAGCTGCCAAACTCTCCTTGACCACTCGAGCCATTCGTCCTCTCCCAAGCCGTTGTCCCGTACAGCAGCCAGCAATCCAAAGCTCTAAACCCTGAACCCTGAACTCAAAAATTCCAAAAACCTGGATTGGCACAGACCCAACAAAAAGTCGAACCGCCTCCTCAGTGGCGTGACCTAAGGTCCAAAGTACACACTGGGTATAGTTCTTACATTAGTCTGGCGCAGGGAGCCTTCGTGTAATCCTCTCGAAAACAGGGCCCTCGAAAGAAGCTGGCAACCCATGGACTTTAAACTTCTCAGGACAGCCAGGCCTCAAAACAAAGTCGTAACCTTTGGCTTATCCTCACGGAAACAAGCCGAAAATCCTAAACCTCAGCCCTAATTTACAGGACCCTGAAAAACCCTCCACTCCAAACCCTAAAACCCTAAACCGCACACCCTAAGCCCTCAAAAGAGTCTGAAGCAAGGCGCCCTTGACATATTGGGGGAAAAATATAACCCTAAACCCTAAACCCTAAACCCTAAACCAAAGCAAGGCGCCCTTGAAGCTCTATGCTCTCATGGCGCTGCTCTTGGGCCTCTCGCAGGGCCTGGGGAAGATCACCTTTCGGCACGCCGGGGAGTTTGGGGTTTAGGGTTTAGGGTTCAGGGTTTAGGGTTTTGTTGATGCAGCTGAGCCCAGTTTGTCACGACGGTCCGTCTACATGTCAGTGCGACCTGCAAGTGCTATGCCGCTCTGTTGGCCTAAGGGAAGGCTACGCAGTAATCCCCTTGGGTCAAGTTTTTCAACATGTGTTAGAGCAGCCGGTAAGCGCTGTAGGAAGGAAACACAGCTTTGCAACTCTTGTACAACACAGCAGAGCTCAGACTTCCAACGTTGTTTGTTGTGCGGAAAAAGAGTTTTGCAGCGCGATCCGTCATGGCAACCCCAAATTCGAATGATGTCGGAGTACATCAGCAGGTTATGAGCGCCCAAGCTCAGCCAGCTCCGCAGCTGAATGGTACAGAAGGACCAAGGACAAGTGGTCTAAGTGGTGGCTATGATGCTACCGGACATGTGGCCCCGAGAGCGGAGGGAACACAAGCTGCGCCGGAGCCTTCGAGTTTTTTGGAGGCGTCGCAGCCCCTGGATGCTCCGGCGTCTTCTACCAGTCGACCACCAGCCTCAATGGAGGCCACATCCATGCAGAGCCAGGCGGAGGCAACGATGCCACCAGCGATCTCTGACTTGGGTGGCAGACCTGGAGCTGGAATAGCGGCGGCAGGTGAGGAGACGGCGGCCACTTATGAGTTTTTTACTCCGCGCTCGAGAGGAGCGGGAACTATGAGCCAGAATAACTGGATGGGTGTTATGGAAGGTTTACCACGATGGATGAGCCGTCTCGGCTCGTACCTGGCGGTGAGTCACGATCAGTTGGCTCCGAGCCCGCTGACGGGCGAAACGCCCCCTGGTGGAAGATCCTTTGTATTGAGGTCCCCGCAGAGATCACGGCCTCTGCCACACCAGCGACCAAGCACGCCGCCTTCAAGCTCAGTACCTGCAGAAGCAATACAGCAAGAAGTACAACGACAGCTTTCGGGAATAAGGCTGCTTCTGGAGGATTCTGAGTCGCGGAATCAGTTGCTGCAGCGCGAACTGGATGATGTGAGACGGAGCAGAGATGCCCTGCAGGCGGCAGCTGCAGCTCAGTCAGGCCCCTGCGGACGATCAGGTCACAGTGGGCTACTGGGTGATCTAGCTACAGCTCCATCAGGCCCTTGCGGACTATCAGGTCACAGCGGGTTGTTGAATGATCCAGGTGCAGCTCCATCAGGCCCTTGCGGACTGTTAGGTCATAGCGGGGTGTTGAGTGATCCAGCTTCAGCTCCATCAGGCCCTTGCGGACGATTAGGTCACGGCGGGTTGTTGAGTGATCTAGCTACAGCTCCATCAGGCCCTTGCGGACTATCAGGTCACAGCGGGTTGTTGAATGATCCAGTTACAGCTCCATCAGGCCCTTGTGGACGATCAGGTCACGGCGGGCTGTTGGGTGATCCACTTATCGGCTCTTCTACCATTGGGAGTCACCAAGGGGGTCACGTGGGAACAGCTATGCCACAAGATCCAGCTATGAGCAGTACTATGCCTACAAGCCCTGAGTATCCACCAGAACCCCGAGGCCTACTACGATCTCTATTGGGAGGCTCACGACAGCGTACACCTTCGCCACCGCCTCAAAGTCAACCACCACGGCCTGAATCCCCTATCCTAGAAACGATAGCTCGGGGAATGCAGCAGCTTCAACAACTACAAGCACAGGCCCTTACCAAGAGCTCGACATCCAGTTCAGCAGACGCGCTCAAGGCAGGCACCACCAGCCTGGCCCAGTTGCCGAATCACAAAGGGGGAGCCGAGGCATCCCTCAGATTCAACGATTGGTTGGAGATTACTACTACGGCGATGACGGATGTCAGCGAGAAGTCGGGCCAGTGGTGGGGAGCGGTCCTGTTGGTGGTCCGGGCGGCTTACAGCCGGTGGCTTTCGGCCTCTCACCTGGAGAGGTTGACGATAAGCCCAGAGGGCATGGAAGAGTTGTGCGTGGACCCATGGAGTCGTATGAATGCGCGGGCCTGTACAATGCTTCTGGGATCGATGCCGCAGGAGATCAAGGATGACATGGTGGCGCAACAGTTGACTCAGAGAGCTCCGGCAATGCTGTTTCGGTTGTTCATATGGTTTCAACCTGGAGGTTCGGCAGAAAGGCAAGAGGTGTTGAAGCGATTGCAATCTCCCCAGGAGTACCTCACGGGCGACAGCGTGGAGGCAATCCTCGCAGAAGTGAGGAGCTGGCCAAGATGGTTGAGCCGATGCCGGACGATGGGTATGAGCCCTCCAGACCCACTGGTGATGAGTCGGGGATTGCAAGCCCTCACGGCGAAGCCGATTAACTCATCGGCAGATGCTTCTTTCCGAACGAGCATGCTAAGGTCGACCTACAGGTTGGACGGGCAGCCTACGCTGGAGCAAGTCCAAGGATATCAGAAGCACTTACAGGCAGAGCTGGAGGCGATCGTTGGGTCCCAAAGAACTGTGTCGTCGCCGGGCACGGGGGCGGCCTTGAGAGCTATTGAGACATCCTCACCTACGACTTCGCCTAAGGGACCAAAGAGCCGGGAGAAGAACCAGGAGTTGTGTCGCTACTTCGCCAAACCAAGTGGATGCAAACGGGGTGACAAATGTGTCTACAGCCACTCGATGAGTGGGATGGACAAAGAGGTGCGAGCGCGAAAGTGCCTGAAGTGTGGAAGTGAAGGACACCGAGCCCGTGATTGCAGCATCAACAAGCCGCCGTCGCGGCCAAACCCTCCTGCAGAAAAGGGCTCCGCTACCACTTCGTCCTCTACTACACCCAGCATAGCGACTATGTCTACGGCGTCCTCGCTGGCCTCAGGAAGCCAGGGCACAGTACAAGGGACCCCCTGGACCCTCGAGACATTGATCCAGGCGGCCCAGCAGGTCATCCACTCACAGGCCCCAGCCGATGGCGAGAGCTCCCCCGAGAAAACAAAGGCAGAAGTTCGGGTCCTAAGCCTATGTGATGTTCGAGTGTCTTCAATGGACAAGTCCACTACGGCTCTTCTGGATTCAGGTGCTACCCACTGTCTTCGAAATGCTCACGATCAGGAGGAGTGGTTGCAATCTGAGGAAGTGATCGTCCAGCTTGCCGGGAACAACTCCTTGAAGATGAAGCTGGGGGCTGGAGGTTCTTTGTTAATGCCGCCCAGGAGCAGAACTTCATCCACTACCACGACGGTGACTCAAGGACAAACGATAGTCCCCTTAGGAGAACTGGTGAAGACCCTTGGCTACTCTTTGGACTGGTCTCAAAGGGGATGTTTCCTTATCGATCCTGATGGAGTGCCGCGGTCACTTGGTGTTTGTGGAGGGTGTCCTCTGATACAGGAGGCGGAAGCCTTGGCAATGATTTCACGGTTGGAGGACCGAAAAAGAGAGATGCTGGAGAACGCCACGGCGGTCACGCAGGATGTGGTGGAGGCGTCTGAGCTCATGATGGAGGATTCGTGGAGGAGCCATTTGAGGTCGTATGTGAGCAATGGGTCTATGGAGGCAGGACTACGGGCGATAAGGGATTCGCCGATGTTGTCAGAGTTACCCGGGGAATGCGTGGGAGGTCTGGTACAGGAGAACCTGATGAACGACGAGTGGAAGGTCTTCAAGGACATCGAGTACCTCAGCAGACCCCAGAGGAGGAGATTGTGGACCTCAAGACGGTGGATAGTCCACCTTTACGCCGGCTGCCCGGGGCACTTTCAGGTGTATCAACTCGATGAGGGCGACACCGTTGTGGTAGAACTGGATGTGCAAAGGAACCGCGCTCACAATGTGATGAGAACTTCTACGTGGAAGCTGTTGTTGTGGGGCGCAATGCATGGGAAAATAGAGGCTTTGATAGGAGGGCCCCCTGGGCGATCGGGCCTGGGACGCCAAGTTGGTGATGAAGTGGCGTGGGACAACAAGTCCCTGGCAGCAATCACGAGGATGTTGTGGTTGTATGCGGTGGCGGAAGAGGGGCGGGCCCTCAACGCCCGCGGGGCGGATCTAGGAAGGCCGGTCGCCTTTATGTTGGAGCATCCACCAGGAGTTCTAGGTGATGCTTTGCCGGGAACGACGTCAAGGAGAAGATCACTATGGGACACTTCGATGTGGAGGGCATTCCAGGAGGAGTACGAGATGACGAAAGTCACCTTTGATCAAAGGGCAATGGGATCGAGTGGTTCGTTGCCTACAACGCTGGGGACCAACGTCTACTACCTGCAGGGCCTCCATGGCGAAGGTCTGGGAGACGCTGTGAAAGCGGAAAGCGCCGATGCAAGTGGGACTTGGTCAGAGGGTCTCACAAGGGCGATTGTGATGGCGCTGAAATTTTGGAGAAGGCATCCGGCTACTACTCCACGACTGTGTCCTATGACGGCGGCACAATGGAAACGGCACGTGGACAGCAACCACCTTGACTACAACCGAGAGTGCCTGACATGTGTCCTAGCTCGGGGAACGGGGCGTCGACATGCTCGGGTTCGTCATCCGGATATGTTTACCCTTACGATCGATATTGCCGGACCAGTGAAACCGGGCTTGGACTGCACTTCAAAGGGCACTCAGGGCAAGGGGCTCCGCTACCTGATGGTTGGCAAGTACACTCTGCCGAAGGAGTTCGTGAAGTCTTACAGTGGCCGAAAGCCTCCCGACGATGATGGACTTCAAGATCCCTTGGAAGTTGAGGACACCAGTGCTGGACTGGAGCAAAGCAAAGAGCCAGAGGCACCTTCTCAACTACCACCACGTGAAGAGGGGAACACCAGCTCCGCGCAGAGTGCTGGACCAGAGCAAAGCAGAGAGCCAGAGGCACCTTCTCAACTACCACCACGTGAAGAGGGGAACACCAGCTCCGCGCAGAGTGCTGGACCGGAGCAAAGCAGAGAGCCAGAGGCACCTTCTCGACTACTACCACGTGAAGAGTGGGATCCGTTTTTTGATGAAGATGTGCCAGGTGAACAAGGTCGTTACAGTAAAGAAGATGTGCCAGGTGAGCAAGGTCGTGATGACGATGATGACCAGCTTGTGGAACAGTCGGATTTCATCGGGGCTACGGAGAAGCAGAGGGAGATCCTTAAAGACTATGAGTGTTCCGAGTACGAGCCATCACTCCCAGGTGACGGTGAAGATCCTCTACCCGATGAGGACCGACCAGACCGGGGCGAGCCAGATAGTGAAGGAGGGTTACGTCCAGATTGTGAACCACCAGAAAGTACAGTGCTTATGTTTGCCAAGGCCCTGAAGACCAACGCGGGGACGGAAGTGAAGAGTGCAATTCAGGATATCGTCCTCTACCTTGACGCCCACGGCCTACCTACCTACCGATTCCATGCTGATCGCGGTGAGTGTTTTAGTCACAGCATTCGTGGATGGCTACGAGATCGTCATATCAAGGCTTCATGGTCGGAGGCAGGTGTTCCACAAGGTAATGGGCGTGCAGAGGCGGCAGTACGGTGGGTCAAGGATCGAACGAGAACGCTGCTACTGGGGAGTTCGCTGCCTACGACTTTGTGGCCCACGGCAGCTGAGACAGCAGTTGCCCAGCAAAGAGCGCGAGTGTTGGGATGGAAGTCCAAGCTCATTGCCCCCTATGGGGCAGCAGTCCTGGTGAAGGAGAAAGCCTTTGATGCCCAGGGACCCCGTCGTCGAGACAAGGCCTTCGAGACCAAGTGGATTCGAGGCCACTATGTGGGCCTTAGTAGCCTACTGGAGGGAGGACATGTTGTGCATGTACCCGAGTCGGAGGCGAAGAAAGGTCACTTCCTTCACACGTTCCATGTCAGAGCTCGACTACATGATCCGGGACCTCCCGAGGAGGAGTTGGAAGTTGTGGAACCACCTAAGCCAAGGAGGAGGGTGTCAACAAAAACCCCAACCAGCCACGTCGAGATGAAGGTTTTGGGCCTCTCCGAGAATGAGTTGGGTTTGTATGCAAAGACCAAGGCAAAGCTTGTTCTCGATGATTGGGACGTGGAGAAGGCAATGGAGCTTGTAGGGGAGCTAGGTGACGCTGGGTTCTTCGAGGACAGGAAGTTTGGGGTCTATAGACACGGTGGTCGTGTGGGATGGATGAAGGGACTTCCCGAACATCCTGAAGTGGGAACCATGTTGGCCAAGATCATTCTGGAGTTCTCCCCAGAGGCAACGTTTACGTCGATCATGGTTTCAAAGGACTGCGACAGGGGCTACCACAAGGACACGAACAACGACAGCAGCACCAGAAACTACATAGTCCCTATCAAGGTTCCGGATAAAGGTGGTGGTTTGTGGGTTGAGCTACGACCAGGTGATCTGTTGGTGGGTGATGTTCTACAGCGGGCAGATCCACAGGGGCGAGTTCGTTATGGGCAGGTCCATGAGATGAAGGAGGGGATGGCCGTGGAGTTGGACCCTCGACGAGCACATGAAGTTCTCCCATGGACGGGCACCCGTATCAATCTGATAGCCTATACTCCGGACAGCCTTGGTAAGCTTTCCTATGAGGATGTAAAGGCCCTGGACAACTACGGCTATCCTACACCATTGTCACAGCTACCCGAGTACTTCATGAAGACCCAAACAGCGGAGGCGAAGTTAGACAAAGTGGAGGTCCAGGAGGAGCCGGTTTCGGAGGATGACGATGATTGGGAAATGTTCGTCGAGGCTGAGCGTGGACGAGTCAAGGTGGGGAGTTCATCAAGGGGGAGGTTACTTCAGAACATCCCTCGCGTGAGCAAGACGGAGGTGACCTACACAAAGGACGTGGAGCAGATCCTGGCCAGCCTCACAGAGCCTCTGAGGGTGACCTACACAGTGGACCCACGAGAAGCGCTACTACATCTCGATGAGTGGAAGGAGGCCATCGCCAAAGAAGTGAAGGGGGTGGAAGTAGCGATTCGCAGGTTGATGCCAGGGACACCAGAGAGGGCAGTGTGGCTTCAAAGAAAAGGAGTTCAACGACTACCAACCAAACTAGTCTACACTGTCAAGCCAAACGATGCGGCCGACCCAGCCGACAAGAAGACCTGGTTTCGACGGAAAGCTCGGCTTGTGGTTTGTGGAAATATGGCAACGAATGCGTGGTCCGACTACTACTGCGAAACAGCTCCAACAGAAGCTGTCAGAGCAGGACTGGCTATGTCGCGATCCCGACAGTGGCAGGTTGCGCTGATAGATGTCGTCGCGGCCTTTATCCTCACCCCAATTGGCGAGTCGGCGCGCGACCCGATCATTGTGGTGTGTCCACCAAAGGTCTTGGAAAGGCTGTCGTTGACTGTGGCCCAAGAGCTTTGGGGCCTAATCAGGGCCTTATATGGCTTGAGGGAAGCACCAATGCTCTGGTCAGCCTATCGTGACCGAACCCTGGCTAGGATGGTTTCTCCGTCTGGGTGGCGATTCAGACAAGGCCGAACAGTGACGTGCTGGTGGGTGGTCACAGACGAGTCCGGAGCAATGAAGGCGCTGATCATCATCTACGTGGACGACATGTTGATCATTGGCATGCAGGAGGCAGTGAAGGAGGTAGCCAACTTGGTGCAGGGGGTATGGGCAACAAGTCCGTTGACCTTCTTGCGACCAGGTAATCCTCTACGTTTTCTGGGAATGGAGCTGTCCATGAGCGATGATGAGTCAATGATCTTGGTGGGGCAGCAAGCCTACATCGAGGAGTTATGTCGTAACTATGGGGTCCAGAGGCATGATAAGATCCCCGTGAGCAAGGACGCCAGCAACTTCAACGTGATGAAGGAGGACGTTGAGCCCGACGAGGGAGGCATCGCCCAGGCACAGCGGGTAACGGGAGAGCTGTTGTGGATATCCCAGAAAACTCGACCTGACCTCTCCTACGGGTGTTCGTTGTTGTCCTCAATTACGCTGAAGGCTCCTTACCGAGCCGTTGAAGTTGGAATGAAGATGATCAGGTACCTCTACGGCACCAAGACGTGGCGGATGGCCTTCCGGAAGGGAGACAAGTCCCTTACTATGTTCCCCGACGCCGCCTTCGCACCGGAGAGTGAAAGAAGCCACACGGGTTGGCTAGTGGTGTGGGGAAATAACCCCATCGCATGGCGCTCGTCGCGCCAGCCAACCATAGCGCTATCTACAGCGGAAGCGGAACTAACAGCGATTCTGGAAGGAGCGGTGGCTATGCTGGGGATTGAGAGCCTGCTTGTGGACCTCAATGAGGAGATCGAGGCGAAGGGTGTGGGATCAGACAGTATCCCGGCACTTACAATCAGTGCTGGAAACGGATCATGGAGAACCCGCCACCTGAGACTAAAGTCAGCTTGGCTGCAGGAGATGATCACGGCCGGGGCAATCAATGGCTTTCATGTTCCAGGCTTGATACAACCAGCTGACTTACTGACCAAGGCGTTGGCAAGTCAGCGGATTCGAGATCTACTACATCGGTGGAACATGATTGGCGACGGTATCCCTCTACCTGGGCATGGAGTCAAAAGTACAGCCGTGGTTTCAGAGAAAATGCTGGTAGCTACCATTTGCTGTTTGATGGCTACAATGGCATCAGGTCAGCCTGACCGTGAGCCTCGGATCTCTATCGACTGGGACATGGCGGGGATATTTATGGTTCTCCTTATGGTCTTGGGAGGTTTGGTTAATTGGGAAGGTCTGAAGTGGCTGGTGGCAGAGCTCTCGCAAGAATGGCTACCTGGGGCATCCAAGAGGAAGCTGAGGAAGCTGAAAAAGTTGAGAGACGCCACCACGCGGGCGATAGAAAGAGAGCTGGAGCGCATGAACGCTGGAGCTGCTTCAGAGCCTACAGTAGCCGAGGAACCCCCGACTTCTACGACGAGTGGGTCTACGAGTCCAAGGAGGACACCTATTGCGCAGCCATCTACTATGAGGGCCACGACGCCCCCAAGAGCATCGCCTTCAAGGGAACGAGAACAGTCCAACGAAGGACAGAGACGGCTGTTACGAGCCTCCCCAACGCCAAGCCAGGGAAGTGACGATCCGGGCGAGGTCCTACGTGTGAGTGTTGATCTGGCGGGTCTTATGAGATGCGAAGAGCTTCGCGAAGCCCTGCGCATAAATGGCCTGCAGACTTCGGGACTGAAGGGAGACCTGTCAGCGAGACTTGGGGGTGCAATGGCATCCATGTATGGCAGAGCAGATCTGCCAACGGTCCGTCAGTACAGATACCTCCTGTGGTTATGGCGCCACAGGAATTTGCAGGGTCGAACCTTGCTTTCGTGGAGCAACATAGCAGATCGACAGGCCGCGTCAAGGACTATCAACAACTGGGACCGTCTATGAAGAAAAGAGCTGTACACCCCTTCCGGTGGTCCAGAGGAGGAGTGTTGATGCAGCTGAGCCCAGTTTGTCACGACGGTCCGTCTACATGTCAGTGCGACCTGCAAGTGCTATGCCGCTCTGTTGGCCTAAGGGAAGGCTACGCAGTAATCCCCTTGGGTCAAGTTTTTCAACATGTGTTAGAGCAGCCGGTAAGCGCTGTAGGAAGGAAACACAGCTTTGCAACTCTTGTACAACACAGCAGAGCTCAGACTTCCAACGTTGTTTGTTGTGCGGAAAAAGAGTTTTGCAGCGCGATCCGTCATGGCAACCCCAAATTCGAATGATGTCGGAGTACATCAGCAGGTTTAGGGTTTAGGATAGGCGTGTTTGGTTCAAGGGTTTGAGGCTTATCGCGTTCGGGGGGCATTTGTGGTAGGTGTTTTTGTTTTGGGGCCTAGGGTTGATAGTTGAGGGTTTCGTTTTTGGGAGGTTGAATGTTTTTTCGGTTGTAGGGCTTGCTGCTGAGTGTTGAGGCTGCTGGCTGGCTTTAGGATTTATTTGGAGTCAGGGTTTGTTTGGGCATAGGATTTACAACTGCGAGGGCCTTACAGTTTTCGGGTGTTAGGGTTTTAGTTCAAGCTTTTTGGAGGCTTGCAGTATCAGTATCTCACACCGTTGCAAACCTGGTGGTCGGCTAAGAAGCCGATCCTCCACCACCCTGCCGCCTGGGGCTGGCAGGTATCTCAACTATGCCACGAACACAGTGATCAAGAGCGGCAAGCTGGTGCCCACCTTGCTGATCTCAGTCCCTTGGGCATCGTCAGCTTGATGGGTTTCAGGGGGTTGTTACGGTTTGGGAAGTTTTGGGGCAGCTTTAGTTCTGCTCCGGTGTCGCGAGAAGTGGCCACCGCCGCCCCAACATCGCCAGTGCCCTCGCCACCATCATCATCGCAGCATCAGCATCATCAGCATCACCAGTCTCGTCATAAGCAGCATCTTCTGCAACAGCATCAGCAGCAACATCAGCACTACCATAGTCGTCATGACCATCATCATCAGCACCGTCGTCATCATCATCATCATCACCACCAGCATGACCGTCATCCTCATCATCACCATCATCAGCAGGAGCATCATGTCATAGTACGGCTGCCAGCAGCACGCCTTCATCAATGTATGTTGACAGACATGCGGTGGTTCTGTTGTGGCTATCGTTGTGGATGATGCTGCCGACGACGAGGATGATCAAGATCAGGCTAGTGGTGGTGATTATTTTGAGAGGCAGGAGGAGTACACGGACGAGCACATGGGACAGGACGAAGATGATAGTGGCGATGACCGTGAGATTATGGAGATAACGATGTTGTTCCTGCTGCTTCTGCTGCTCCTTCTGCTGCAGTTGCTGCTGCTGCTGCTGCTGCTGCTGCTGCTGCTGCTGCTGCTGCCTTTTCTGGTAGTCGTCATTTCTTGTAGACCTAAAGCTACTACTTGAGTCAACATCTCCAGCGTAGTGATGGCAATGACAAGTCATTTGCGAAGGTCATCTGGCTAGAGCGCAAAGTTTCGCTTGCGGAGTGGGCGGCTGCCGTTCTATTGGTGCTCTCGTCCGCGTTCATGGCTCTGGGTGAGCAGGCGTGGTTGCAAACCGTTGCGGTTTACAGAACCAAGTTGTCGCAAGTTTCATGCTGCTCGCACCCTCAAGCTTCTTCAGCAGTACAGATTTATCTTTTAAGGACTGTTCTGGTGTTCTCTTGAGGCTCTAAAGGGGCCATGCCCCGAATTAACCTACTAGGCCTTCCGAAGGACCCTGGCTTCTCAACCCCGAAACCTCTTAAATCAAAGTAGAACTCAGCACTCCAACTACTCAGTCGAACATGCAGGCGGTGACCCCGAGTTTCGATCCAATAGGCGGGCCTTGTGATGTGCTTTATAGATCTCAGAAGTGCTTTCGGGTCGGCGATTGGGTGGAGGGACTCTGTAGTATGGCCTAGATACTTTTGAAAAAAAAAACAGGACGGACTTGAGGTGTGAAAAGCAGGGTCCAGTGACGGGATGGCTTGGGCTTCAATTTCGGTTCAGCTAAAGCTTAGGGTTTGGTCGGCAATGCACCTAGGGTTTGGAGCAAGCCAGGGTTGGAGGCTTTGGGGTGGTTCAGGGGCTGATTGCGGCATGAATTTCTTGGTTGGCGAGTCGCTGGAGAGGAAGTGGCACGACAGAGTTATTGGAAGTTGGAAGACTTGCACAGGCTGCCCTGCACCCCAATTCCTGAACCACCTAGTCCCTAAACTAGAAAGCCTCCGTTGAAAGTCGTATCCAGCAAAACACACGCAGCGGGAAGCAGAGGTCAGGCATCATCCAGAAAGTGTTGAGGCAGGGCTCGGGGAGGTTTCGTGAACTTATCTAGGGTTTGTGAATTTCGGCGTTCAGGGTTTAGGATTTCCGGCGTTTAGGCTTTAACGGCGTACGGTTTTAGGCTATCACAGTAGTGCGCAAACTCGAACCACCACGAAGGCCGCAGCCCCTGAGTCGTCGTTAGCCCGGAACCCTCCCCCCTTAAACCTTAGGAAGTTGCACTATAGTTCCTAAACTTACAGTTTCTTTACCCTTTTCCAGCCTCTAACGCCCACACCCTCAACCCTAAACGCGAGAACCCCACATCTCCAAGCCAAGACTGCCAGAAGGAAGGGCCCCCGAATCTACAGGGTATACATACTCTAATAACATTCCATACTATAACAATAGATTTAGACGATCTATCATAATTTTATACTTTCAGAAGATTCTGGAATACATACATACATACATACATACATACATACATATATATATATATATATATATATGTATATTATGTATATATATATATATATATGTATATTATATGTATATATATATATATATGTATATGTATATACGAAAATGGAATTGCGGCCAAGACTGGCAGAGAGGACTCATCCTGGCCGGGGCCCAGCTCTTGTGCGCGGCCATGCAGGGGAATCTCCAGGCGACTTCGGGGCATCTCCTTCTTTCAAAGGGTTTACAGGATCATGGGACTTAGTAAGTAGGGTTATCAGTACCTTAATTAAGGTTATATGTAATTATAACTGTAGCTACCTTCTTTCAAAGGGTAAGTAGTGTTATAAGTACCCTAATTAAGGCTATACGTAATTATTCCTCTGGGCTTCGGAGTACCGTACTTTAATACTTTTTTCTTAATGGAACCCTTTTGAAATAAGAGTCTATACTTTTTTCTCCCTGGTTACTTAAACGCCCAGCCCTTCTTTCAAAGGGTTTACAGGAGTACCTATAGTCTCCATTGTAGTTCCTTTTTTTGGTGAGCCAAAATCTCTATTATAGGATCCTAACCATAAAATTGGGTAACCAAAACAAGGAACTACAATGGAGACTATAGGTAGGGTCTAGGGTTAAGGAGATTCTAGGCTTGTAGCTTTTAGGGATTCTCTTTCTAAAGGGTTGGGGAATGAGGGCTTATGGCTTAGCCTGAACCCTAAGACGTGGGGGGGGGGGGTTTAGTGTATTTGGTTTTCGGCTTAAGTAGTTCTGTGTTTTGCGGAGCAAAAGATGGTTCCCCAAAATACTGGCCTTAAAAAAATGGAGTCACGTTTTTGGGCCATGTCGGGTGTATCACTGTATTACCAACTAAAGCCTATAAGGGAAGTGTTACTAATTGGGGCTTCTACATTTCTCGAAATGGCGTCGCTGCCGCTATCTTGACTGCCAAGACCACCGCTATCACGCTTCTTCTTGGCTGATGTTTAGCCGCCGCAGCAATGGCAACAGCAACGATGCCGCGCTTGTAATGGTGATGGTGATGGTATGATGGTGACAGCTCCTAGCAGTGCAAAATCGATGATGACGGTGTGTTTTCTGATGTTTCAGTTTTTCGGCATCAGGTCTCCAGGCTCGTCCTTTCAGAGCGTTGCAGCATGCAGACATGGTCACTATTCCGACTAAGCGGCTTCCGAAGCGGAAACATTGCGCAACCGTGACGAAAGCTCTGGACTGCCTGATGACCCCGGCCGCCATATCTCTGAAGTTGCTCTTTGCAGGAGAAAGCGCTCAAGGACTATGGGGCATCCATCACAGAGGCTCGAAAGCTTGAACCGGTTCTTGTTCGGGTTTTCGGGCTGCTTAAAGCCCTCTCCAGCCACATGAGGATGCTCAGATTCCCACTGATGCTGCAAAGCTAGCGTTGAAGATTCCGGGCCGCTGGCAAGTTAGGCAAGATTATGCGGCATTGTATCATGTCTGACAGGGTTCATAGAAAGTCTACAGAGTCTCAGGACTAGCTAAGCAGTGGAAATTTATCTCATGCTGCGAGCGTTTTTGCAGAAGCACTACTCTTTGTCAGCCGGTTAAAAACCCGCCAGATGTGTGTTCGGCGATTCGAAGAATTCAGGGTGCTCCGTTGAAAGCAAGCCAGAAATCACCCAAGAGCCGCCTTCATATATCAAAGATCATCTGGAGCCAACCAACCGCCCTAGGCCATCAACCGCATCTTCTTCCCCCGAAACCTTTTTACCCTAATGAAAATGCCGAAAGAATTACCGATGCAACTGTCGGGCTTCCTGGTATTAAGTATTATACATTACGAAGTTATGGTATGACGTGGCCCCAAGCCTGTTCTAATGATTAAGGCTCTATAAGCTCAAAATCCCCCCAAAGCCCTAGCCCTCATCCATGTGGTCAATCGAGAAGAGCATTCGGGTATCTTTTTGCGCTTTGTCTGGAATCCTGGAACCTTCATGTGGTACATGTAAGCAGGCTTGAGGGTTAACGGTTTGGGGTTTGGGGTTTGGGGGGGTAGCAGATAACTATCAAGAGCTCCATCCCCAAAGATTGCGTTTCTAAATCTGCTTGGAGCTTGTTAGGTTATCAGAGTTAGGGGCGATTCCTGGTCGCGCCAAGAGAACTGAAGCCCTCAATCGCGAACCGTGCTCTAAAAAAGTGCCACGACCTCAAGGCTTTCTAGGCCCTCGGAAAGACATGAGTAACAACTTCTGCGCCGGCGGAGCGGGGAGGGGGGCGGGGGTCACTAAAACCACGGAAACCGACAAAAAGCCCAAGAGAGAGCCAAAGCTCCCAAAAGCATTCTTTTCAGAAGCCAAAGCGGTTTAGAGTTTACTGTAGGGTTTAGGGTTTTAGGAAAGCCCTGAATCAGTGAAGCTCTGTTGAAACGCAGGCCCTGGCCTGCAGCAACGGCTTCGGCGTGATCGTGGCCCCGAACCCAGGGCATGGCTTCGGTCTCTATTTTCAGATGCTAAGGCTCTTAAGGTTTAGGGGTTCAGGGTTTAGGGGTTTTAGGGGTTAGGTTTTAGGGTTAGGGGAGTCATTCTACGATTTGAGGTTTGCAGGCTTCCTGTAACGCTGATGTTTCAGGTTGGAATGCTCTGGTTTAAGATTTGTGCTGATAGCTTCCGGCAGCGCTCCGGGTGTGCATCAGAGGCAAGTTCCGGGTGCATGGCATTTCGAGCAGAACGACTCCGCTGTCCACCTGCTAGCAGGGCTTGAGATTCATACTTGGGCACCTGTTCGCAAGTTCCACAGTAGTTTCTTTTGCCAGAGGATGGGGTGGATTCGTGGATGCCAAATCCCCACACCAAGGTCAAAAGGCCTAGAAGCCCGATAGACTCGTGATGGGGTTCGGCAGCATGTAGCCAACCCGACCTTCTGAAACTCAGTTCTAGTAAGGAGCTTCATGTACAGGGTGTTACGGTGGACGGCATTTTTCCACATGTTGCAACTTAAATCAAGCTCCTTCGCGAGGGGCCAGGAAACTAGGGCCTGGAAGCCAACGACCGCATATATCCGAGAGCCCTTCTTCCGCAAACCTTAAGCGAACCACCAAACCCAACACTCTACCATAGCAGGCATTAATAAGTAGAACAGGGTTTTGGGTCGTATATTATTTAGTAGTATAACGACTACGTACCAAAAGAACACCATTGTAATTTTCAATCCCCGCTATTCCCCCGCCTGAGACCCCCATGTTCGCCCACCCCTGAACCCTGAACGCCCCCAACCCTAACGTTGTACCTTCGCAGCTTGCGAGGTCTGGGTAGCTGTCCAGGTAGGGCGCTTGGAAGGTTAGAGCGCTGCACTTCTGAGGCTTACGATTGAGAGCTTGAGGCTTGCAGTTCAAGGCAGTGCACGAAACTCGCAATGTATGTTCAATGTGCTACGACCGAAGCAGCATTCACGGGTTTAGGTTTTTATTCCAGTTTTCTGTGAGGCACATGGAACCAAGGAAGGGAGAGGCAACGGCAGATTTCCGGGTTCCGGGTGCCAGGGAATGAAACCCCCTGGTCTGTCGTAGCCTCAATTCAAAACATTGCGACCTCATGAACTAATGATATCCATGCGGCTTAGCATATGTCGGTATAAGCATAGGGTTTTGGGAACTAGTGCTAGTGCTACTTGTCATATTCATCACTACGTTATAATGGTGTTCACGACGATAGCTATAACTATAACCCAAACAGTGTCTCCAATCTATTATGCTCATGGGCAACTTACAGTGCTCCCTTATACACAACACTCGCTGAGTCCTAGCAAATTTAGACGCCTAAAGGCCGGAAGCTCCGGCGCTTCCCTTGACCCGAAACCCCAAACCAGCCCGAACCCCAAAGACAACACCATTGAAATGAATGTAGGGCTTGAAAGGTTGCCAATACTAGTTGTCAGGGTCCCCTTTTCTCGGTGTATGAGAATATCCCCCCAAGGTTCCACTCAAATAATTCATTCTGGAGCTTCAAAGCTCCCTGTGAAAAGACCTATAAAGCCTATCCTAAACCCTGAACCCTCCACCCTAAACCCATGAAATCTAAATCCTGACCCCTAAACCCTTCACCCTTTCCCCTATAACCCGAAACCCCAGCCCCCAAACCCTGCCATGCAGCCCCTGCCATCAGCCCCATAAGCCTCAGGTCTCCGGAGAAGCAGGACCTGCCTTCGAGTTCTTTCTCAGCTCTCCGCCCCTTGCTTTGCGGTTTGGGGTTTACGGCTAGGGGAAGATAGGATTCAGGGTTTTCGGATGTTTAGGGTGATACACTCTACCTCAAGAGCCTAGTTAAAGTTGAATGCTTTCAGCCTCATAGTACCCCTGTAGTAACCCTAAGCCCTTTAGAGCCCTATAAAGAAACCTTTATGGTACCCTTATAGTAACCCTAGGCCCTTTTGGGGCCCTTCTAGTAGAGCCCTTTAGGTGGACCCTTATAGTACCCTTATAGTAACCCTGAATCCGATAGCCAAAGTCCAGGCTCGGCTCTACTTTGGTCCTCCTCCGCTCGCTGTTTTTCTTCCTTGGTGCCTCGGCAGAGATGGGAGTTTCCGAAAATTGGGTGTACCTTAGGGTTCCTTTAAAGGGTACTATACAGTCCGAAAATTAGGGGTACCTTGCTTTGGGGTCCTTCTAATAAGGATCCTAGCATTTAGGGTACCATATTAGGGTCCTCCATTTTCGGAAACTCCAAGATATTCTGGGAAGTTTGAGGGGCGTGGGGCATTGGGTCTTGCGTAGAAGGTTCGGATTTTTAGGCATTGTGGGGTTTTAGGCAGGTCCTTACAAAAAGGACATCATTGGAAGTTTAGGTACTGAAGAGGTCACGGGACTTGGTAAGCAGATTAGGATAGTGTTGTAAGTCTTTACATTGGGGCGATCCTACTTACTACATGGGAGTTTCCGAAAATCGGGGACCCTAAGACAGTACCCGGAATAGTAGGATCCTTATTACAAGGACACCAAAGTAGGATAACCCTAACTTTCGGAAACTCCCACCTGCCCTGGCCTCGGCTTTAGTGCTCTGCTCTTCGTATTCGCCGGCTCATGCCTCAGAGCTTCACATTAGAACCCACTTGGAGGGTCGGGGGACTTAGAAACTGGTTATTTTAGGGACTTATAAGTACCATAACCCCAATTAGAGTCCCTTTTAGGGTACTTATAAGTCTACTTACTACCTACTTACTAAGTCCCGCGACCCTCCAAGCAGGCTGTCAAGGCATAGGACCCCCATGGCCCAAGGAAATCCCGCCAAGAGTACAGGAAGACCCCAACGTTAATCTGTCTACTTTGCAGCCCTCAGGACTTGCAAGAGAGTTTCGGAAAATGAAGGACTTGGACATGGACCTACTCCAAACAGCCCACCCCTAATTGTCTGAAACCCCCGAATATCGGAACCTTACATCATGCAGGAGCCTAGTTATCGCGCGATATGTCCCGAAAAACATACTTCTAAATGTTCAGGCCCCTATACCATAGAACCCTATTATAGATCCCTTCCAGACCCTTTAAGGAACCCTGCTCCTTTAAGGAGCCCTGCCCCTTTTAAGGAATCCTTCTCTATTTCTCAAAAAGCAGGCCCCTATATTACCCTGCTCTGCAGCTTCGCAGGTGTCGTGGCCCTCACTGCTTTGACCAAGGCCTCGGATGAAAAGCGTAGTTTGATCCTGTGTTTCATGATTGCTCTGTTAGAGTTTAGGGCTTGGGGTTTAAGGGTTAGGGGTCTGGGGTTTCGGGGACGCTTTTTTTGTTGTTTTCTGAAGGCTTTCTGAGGTTTTTTTCCTGCAGACAGCTCCAGACAGCGTGGTACTCTTAGCCGGTTACTGCGTTCAGTTTCAAAGGGGTTTGGCTGCTGAGACTGTTCTTACTTGGAGGCTCATGGGCAGTTATAGGTAGGATGATAAGTCCCCCAATATGGGTTGTAACTAGAGTTACCGTACTTATAACCGCACTTGTAACTACCCCATCTAGGCTGTAGCACACTCACCCCTAAACCAACTCCCAGATCTTTCCAGGACCATGGGACTGGGGCAGCCACAGCCGTCGGCACAGCGCGAAAATCGCTGACCGTGCCACTTGGCAGAAAGCCTGACTCAGATGACTTATTGGAATGTTATGTGGGAGTTTCCGAAAACTAGGGGTACCTTATTTTGGGGTCCTTATAATAAGACTAGATTAGGGTCCCCTATTTTCGGAAACTCCCATGTAAGAGTTCTGTAAACTTCCTAGAATACAGAAGTACGAGGCTTCCAACGGGTCCTTTAAGGGTCCTGTGATGAGTCCGATGGCCCGTGGCCGTGCCCAAATAAAGGTGCTGAGAAGGAAAGAAGGGTTCAAGGTTTCAGGTTTGGGGTCTATCTTGTGTTTGGCCGGTAGTGCTGGTGCTAACTAGTATGCCCTCGATCCTAAACCCCAAACCCTAACTCCTAAACCATAGACCCGAAACCCTTGCCCTGAGGCTGTTCTCCTTCATGATGTTTCCGAAGCCCTGGCACATGCGGCTCGCCGGCAAGCCTTTGATACCCTGCACTGCCTAAACTGTTGTGGTCTTCAGGGGTTTGGGGTTTAGGGTTTAGAGTTAGAGGTTTGGGATATTGGGGGTCTGCAGTCGTTCTTTTGCAGACGCGTATGATGGTAGGTGCCTGAAAGAGGAGCCCCAAAGCCAAAACCCCAAACCCCGAGGCCTACGCCCAAAACAAAACGCCTACGCCACAACTGTACACCGGGGAGCAGGAACTCAACCCTCAGCCCATGGGTCTGTCGCAAGGCTGGGTTTGTAACAGGGTCGGCGTGGATTGCTTGCGACAAACAGGGGTTTGGCCCGGTTTGGCCCCTCCGAGCCAGTCGCAGTTCGAGGTGCAGTGTTGAGTTTAAGGTTTTGGGCTGTTTCGGGGTTTGCCTTTGTGGTGTTGTGTGTCGGAAATGTGACATAGGGTGTTTTATGAGGCTTTAGAGTTTCCTTGCAATTGAAGAGGGCGGAACCTGATAAAGTTGCCCAGACAAGCATGTAGAGTGAACCCTCGGGCGCCCAGCCACAGCTACGGCAGAAGCCATGCAGCAAAACAGCCATCGAACCCCTGTAAAAAGCCGACGAAGCCCCGATGAACCCATGTGAAGATGCTAAGGAACTATGTGTTGGGGACCTTTGTGGCTCGGCCTAGAGCTGTGTAGGATGGCAGCCAAAGGTCGCGAGAGGTTTTGATTGTGGAGCTAGTTCCTCCCCAAAATCCCCAACCCTAAACTATAAGACTATGTTAGGTAAGTGTCTAATTGTGGACCGTTCGTTCTCAGAGCTTTTGTCGGAGTGTCTTGGCTTGAGCTTGTAGCCGACCCCTTTGACCCGAGATTGGGGCTCATGTGTAGATTTCGGGTACAGAGAAGCTGCAATCGCACGTGTTGGCACGTTGCAGTGTTCTGGCCGGATTGGGCTTCGATTCTAGCCAAGAGGAGCTTCCCTAACATGAGGGCCCTAATGATTAGTAAGTACATAGTTGTAGTGAGGAGCCCTGAGGAATAAGATCAATAATCATTTTCAGGCCCCTATATTATCAAATGAGGCTGGCATCCTCGGGCATTGTCTTATAAAGCAATAAAGATTCCGGGGGCCTCAGACAGGAAGGCATAGCTTTGTTGGCAGGCAAGCCTGGGGGATCCGAAGGCTAAAGCCCAAAACCTCGAATCCACTTCATATGTTATCTATAAGCCATTCCGATAGGGAGTTGAGAGGATTCTTGAAAATGAGGGCCAGTTGTACCCGAACCTTCAACTCAGCGAGTGTAGTCAGGCATTGGCCAGCGGTTTGGTTTTGGCTCATGATGGCCCCGAAGCCACAAGCAGCGCGAAGCATAGGGTGAGATCGAGTTCTTCATTGCCATGGGTGGTTGACACGGTACAGAAGCTCTGTCGAATCCCAATGCACTTCGAAGCAAGTCAGACATCATGTGAGAGACTAGCGGATTTGCCCAGAATCATTCCTGAAGGGCATCACCATTAAAAGATTCTTATAGTATGAGGGGGTTTCAGATATCAGACTTCTGAGTAAATACTGGTTGAAGACCAATTCTTGCGAGCAGGAGTCTGTGTCTGCATGCTAACTACGTTGCAGCAGGGGCCTAGCGTTTAGGGCATTTAAGGCGTTTTCAGTCGGTCGTTTTGGGTTTAGGTTTGGACTCGGAGTTTGTGTTTTCATGCTGCTTCAGCAAAACATTAATAGTCGTGAACCTCTACACTCCACTCGCCAAAGTCCCACATCCTAGCAGAGCATTCAGGCGTTCATCGCGGCCGACCTGATCTACTTCCAGGCAGGGCCATGCATTACAACCTTCTGCATTCTCGTTTGTGCCGCACCTTCAGCCTTGAACCACAGATCCTTGAATCACAAATCCCAAAGCTTTCACCAACTTCTTCCTCCTGAACCAAGCTCTCAGAAACAAGGAAGAGTCCTTCTGTTGTAGGTGAGCTCCGCACGAGCCTCTGCGCGCCGGAAGCTCGCAGCAACTGGGCCGAAGTCATGGCTTAGGGTTTGGGGTCGGCTTCTGTTCGAGGGACTTCATTTAAGGTTCCATAAGGTGTCTGTAGAGTTTAGCGGTTGACTTTAGATTAAGTTGGGTTTCGACACGTCCAAGGATTGGAATTGGTGCGATAGTGCGGTTTTCAGCTAATAATGCTCGTTCCTTTTCATGGTAGCCTAAACCAAGCTCAATATCCAGAACTGGGTATTTCCGTGCAGTCCCCTCTGCGGCACGTGGCAATCGGAAAACAGCTACAACCACAACCAACGCGACGAAGACAGGGAACACGACCGCAATAGAGGAGTAAGCTCAGTGGCGACTGCAAAGACTTAACCATGTCACCATGTCCGTCAAGTCTTTAAGTCTTCTCGCGGCTGCATTTACGAAGAGCAATCGCAGGTTCTGTTTCGCATTGTCAGTATACCCTTCGGCGACAAGGGTGATCATCAGCATTGTCCGCATCTTAAGTATCATGGTTAACATTTTTATTGAGTGAGATTAACATTCATGGTGGTGGGATGTGAATAAATTTGGTTTTCGGCAAGTCTTGTGCTCATGTCTATGGAATCTTCTACGGCAGAGGGATGATCCATTATGCTGCTCCGCAATGTATTCAGCTCATTCCTGATCTGCAACAGCTATCATATTGCACAAGCCCTTTGTTTGCTACAACATGCACTCTAAGTACCAGAAACTATACATACAGAACCCTATGTATAACATGTCAATAGGTTATTGCAATGAGGTCTTTGTCACTCTTCCAGCGACCCCAAACCCTCAGCATCCCTCCCTCAAGCCTGAACCTAAATCCCTGAACCCGTGATCCTTAAGTCCCTAAACCCCTTAAGCCGTTAAACCCAAGCCCGAAACCATCAACCAACACTAAACCCTGAAGCTTGACCCTAATCCCAAGGTCCTTGAGCCCCTTAGCCCCCGAGCCCTAGAGGCCTGCAACCCAGAAGACGGCAATGCCAGGCCGGTGTGTTTCTTGTGCCAGGATTTAGGGAGGGTTTGGGATCGAGGGTTCAGAGATTGGGATCGGGAGAGGTCGCAGGATTTCGAGTTGGCAGTTTCACGAATTTAGTACAAACCCGTCAGGAGCATCACGAGCCTTCAGCAGTTTTGTCTGGCGTTGCATAGCAGCCTGAGTAGTTACTATTCCTGAGGGCTCCATGGTTGGAGCATAATATGCCCCCGCCCCCTGCCAACACCCAAGCCCCATTCTAAATCTTAAAAGCACCCTTTCAAAAATGTTGGCTTCCCCTGTCAGAGGCAGATGTAGCTCTGCATAGGAAGCCTGCGTTTAAACCCGAAACCACAGAACGTTTAACTGGGAAGCTTCCAAAGCTTGATGGGCCTTCAGAAATGTGTTCCCGATAAGTTTCGGTAAACCCTAAACACTTAATCCGGCCGCAAGAGTCGAGATTTCATGAGACCCGCATTCAAAGCGAGGGTTTTGAGAGCCTCAAGCCTCGCATCAGGCCTTCAATAAGCATCAATACTGTTCCTGAGTTCCTTGGTAGCTTCCTGGTACAAAAAGAAGCACACGAAAACCCTGGTCCAAATCTCCGGAGTCCTATACTAGGCCCTAGACTAGCCTTCAGTTGCGCCTTATGTAAACCAAAGATATGGTTTTAGAGGAAGCCGCCTCTACTTAGATTAGCTCAAACTCTCCACATATGAAAGGCCGAAGGTTTGGCCCCATAAGGACCGCTCTCTGCGGACCAGTTGCAGGCACTGCAGCAAAGACGAAGTGTGAGAGCCTTTGGTCGAAAATCTACCGAAGAGGAAGTGGAGGTTTGGGGCATAGGTCGTCTTTGGGTTCAAGAAGGATAGCGCGTTGAGGTTTGAGGTGTGGCTGGGTTCTGTAGCGTCCCAACAGATATATAGGGTCTAAGGGTTTAGTGTCCAGAGTAGGTCAAGATGGCTGTTCGGAGGTCGTGGAGTTTCATCTGTGCAAAAACCCTCAGCGCCCAAAAGCCGTAAGCTCTCAGAAATTCGGAATGTTGAATCGAAGTGCTGCCTGGTTCCTAGTACCCCTGTGAAGGGCTGGAAGAGAGACCCATGTCCTGGAGCCCTAAACCTCTTTGAGTCTAAAGATGGGTTTCCGAAACTGGGGACCCTAATATAATACCCTAAACGGTAGGATCCTTATTATAAGGGCCCCGAAATAAGGCACCCCCTCTTTGGGTCTAAAGGGGCGAGGATTTGCAAGGTCACCTCTTGAGCTAGGCGCCAAAAGCTGCCAGCATCTGGGACTGCCGCTGTAAGAGGGGAAAATGCCGCCTGTTTGTCATTTGCGCTCCTTGTTCATTCGTCACATGGGAGGAGACGACGGTGAGGTACATGTTTGCCTATTTCTTTCCGTGCAGAAACTTACAGAATCCGGTTCTCGCCTGCCCACTGTGAGTGCTGTATACCTCTCAGAGAAGAGCAAGCTGGTTCTGTTGTTTGTGCTGACATATCTAGAAGGCCCCTGTTTCTGCATCTTTCGGCCGGAAGAAGCCCAGACAGTTGTAGCTTGGACTGATCCAATTCTCGCCTTTGCCGGCTGCATCTACGATGCAGACAGCTGCTTGCATCTGGCCTGGAGGGAGCTGTGTGCCATGAGCGCACAGCGGGCGAAACTAGCTCTTGTGCTCTGTGCCTGTGGCTGTTTAAGTGACTTCTGTAGGAGGCTTGCGCTGGGATTTTTGCGGTAATCTAGCAAACTGGTATCCTTTATAATTAGCCCTTTTTCAAGTCTGCCATACCCAAAAGCCTTATTCTGACGATGAAGGCCCGGTAGCATTGCGAGATTCAGCTCATTATTGTCAAAGTCAGCTCAGGTGTCTTCGGGACCTTGTCCCAGGCTTCGCGCCCGACGCGCCAGGACGATGTGCTCTCGCTGGAAGGCGGCGAAGAAAGTGGCGGCACTAGTGGACCCGATGTCACCGAGAGCTCGATGGGAACTCTCCTTCCGAAGGCTTGCGGAGGTGATGGCATCATTTACCTGGAGGAAGGGGTGACCTATCGCACAGAGAAATCCAATCACAGCATCCCGGACAACTGTCATACACTTCAGGGAGCTCCGTCTTCGCGCATCCTGCTGTATGCAGGCATCAGCTTTGCCAGCACCACTGCCGTCATCCGTGCCCCCCTGCGGATAACCATGGCACCGGACGTTGAAACCCTGAGCTCTCCTGCTATTCGGAGCACGGGCAGCTTGCAAGCGGTCTCGCCGAAGGACCGCGTGCTAGAGTTCCACGACATATCAACTTCAGCTACGACTGCTGCTCTGGCTGCAGCAAATAACGGTAGTGTCCAGCTCGGTGGTGAAGGCACGATGATCTTTGAGAACCTGCGAAGCTTCGGGGCGCCAGTAGCAGATGTCAATTTCTTCGATGTGAACAGCACGGTAACCCACTTAACGGTTCGCAATGTTACCAACGAGCGCGGGGCTGGGGCCATCTATGGAGGTCGCCAAGTTCACATTGACAGCAATGGCACTGTGCGTTTCGAGAACTGCACGTGCAAAGGCCGGGGGGCTGCCATCGCAAGTGTCGGCCAGTTGAAGCTGACAGGAGACGCAGCATTTGTCTTCGAAGAGTGCAGCAGCGGTGCAGCAACGACAGGAAGTGTGACAGGGGGCGGAGCCCTGTCCAGCTTGGCAGATGTAATGCTGCAGCTTGGAACAAAGGGGTCAGCCGTCTTCAGGCGGTGTTGGTCAAGAGGCTCTGGCGGTGCCATCTACAGTGGGGGTGACATGAATGTCACCGGCGGCAGCATCTCCTTCGACGGCTGCCGTGCCGGGAGCGGAAATGGACATGCGATAGCTGCAGGCACAGTTAGAGGATGAGCAATCATATGCAATAATACGAACTTCCTTAATGTCAAGAGGGGGTCCCGTCCCCCAGCAGAAATTCGAATGGTATCTTTATCAGCTAGTCGCTGTTCCTGTTGGCACCTGTGTGAATTGGGGGGGGATTCTGCCACTACTTCCGCTCCTGCCCTTTCCGCTGCTGCTGATATTGCTCCCTCGGTGGCTTTTGCACTTGCTCCTACTCTAGCTCTTGGCTCCTGGTCTTTCTCCTGCGCCCTTGCTGCTGCTCCTTGTTCTTGCTCCTGGTCCGGTCTCCTGAAGCCATCAGCGCAGGATACAGTAGTTGCTGAAAAGGCGTGTAGGAGTGTAGGAAATCAGGAGGATTGTCAGGAATGTGTTTTCATTCATATGAGCCCAGCAGGGGGGGAAGTTAACGCATGGGGGAGGGACCAAGCTGGTTGCCGCATTTGAGCTTGCAGGCCACGGCCTCCTCCAGATCAGTGAGCTGACCAGGGTCGCGCTTGAAGGCATGGAGAGCTACATCGGCTCGCCCATTTTCGCACGTGATGCAGCCATCCCTGTCGTTGGGGATCTTCTACCGGAGGATGTGTTCGAACTGGAAATGCTGATGGCATCGAAGCCACCGAGCCAGGGTGACCACGTATGTCCGGCAGGCTCTCGGTTCAAAATTGACACAAACGGCGCCCCCATTCTCGGTAAGTGCCAGATGTGTGGATCTGGCACTGTCTCGCTGGCGACCTCAACTTTGGAGGTTGAAGGGCGAGTTGCGGCTGCGGAAGATGGCATGCGCATTGTTCTCGTTCGGCGAGGATCTCCCAATGCCATCCGGCCGCTGTCCGACAACAGATCAACACCGGAAAGATGCAAAGGCCACAGCTTTTGCTTGGGCCTCGCCCGCGGCGACTGGGCGCCGGCGTGGAAAACCTTTCCGGTCATACTGGAAAAGCACAATCAGTTGGCCTTCACTTTCGATCGCGGCATGTTCAGGACACCTGGAAAAGATTTCATGATGACATGTAGTGGGGCTGCAACATTGTCAGTGCCAGGTGCACACCAGATTGTTGCTTGTGCACTTTTTGGTCTCATTCCTCCCAAGCCTTCTACCTAGAGGCTCCATAGTAGTTCCTTTTTGTCGTTACCTTGTAGGATTCTAAATATTAACCCCAAAAAAGAACTACTGTGGAGCCTCTCGGTAACCACCTTGGTGCCCGACCCATCCTGGCCGGATACAGAAGCAGCAGGAGAATCGAAGTCGAGCATACTTGGAGGTTCATGGGTAGTTATAAGTGGGGTTATAAATAAAGGTAAGTATAGTTATAACCGATATTAGGGGACTTAGAATCCCACTTATAATACTACCCATGAACCTCCAAGTAGACGCAGTTGCGGAGTCCCTTGGATTCCAAGTTTCAAGTGCAAACGACATGCTGAAGCCCAAGAAGGCACGTGCAGGAATTTCACAATTGTACCCACGAAAGCAAATAGTTCATTGCTATGCGGCTGTTGTCACAGCAAGTGAGATTTCCCAGGCAGCATGACTTGCTGGAGGTGTGATGAAAGCGATGAGGCAGGCAGGGAGGAGCGGGTGCTGGAGATGGAGGTGGAGGCTCCCTTTACGACGCCAGATCCCAAACCTTTCTGAGCCCAATTCTGAGCCTTAGAGTTGCAACTGTGGCTTTTCTGCCAGGACTGAAGACGGATGGATACTTGCAGTGGCTTATGACTCCTATGCTCCCAATACCCCTCTGGCCTTCTTGAAGGGCTTGAACAGCGCATCGTGGAGAATCCAAAGCGAGACAGGCATGTTCACAGCGGACGAGTATGGCCATATCAGCCCGAGGCAGGCACCGGATCTGGTCTTCGGTATTGTCAGCGAGGTGAACTACACCTTTCAACCCGAAAAAAACCCTTACTTGGCCTGCCTCCCGTGCCACGACGTTGCAAGCGAGATGGCCGACAAGATCCAGTGCCACGGGGCAACGTCGGCCAGCTCCCTTCGAGGCTACATGCTCCTTCACGTAGCAGGCTGGGCAGGGTTTCGGCTGGTCATTCAAGAACCCTATGCTTCTAGGGACCTTATTATTGGGTCCTTAAGGTGTCTAGGGCCCTAATTATAAGGTCCCTGGAAGCATAGGGAGAACCTTGTTCCAAAGCACAGCAGTCGTTACGTCGTCGCTACAACACGTCTCGCTTCTTTCACGGACAATGCAGGGTAATCGGAATTGGTTGTTTTGGCTAGTCGACTGTTTCTCTGCACCCTGCCATTCCACTATCCAAGGGTAAAAGGAAGGACCCTTAATAAGGACCCCTAGGTATATACCCTTAGTATGGCCATTATATACCCATTATATAGCCCATTATAGGGTAGGGTTCCCCATTAAGGGTCCCTCCTTGTCCCCTTTGACACTACTGCTTCACATGTCGGACACAGGGAAGCAGAGGCTGGAAGTCCACCGCTGCCCCAACTGCATGGCCTGTCGCTGGGATATTCTTGAACACAGCTTTCCTTCGGTTACCATCTAGCCCCAATGCTTCTCCAAAGTTCAATCGTAAAATTCCGGCAGGTGCAAAAAGCAAGTATTGCTTAATGTACCACGACATTTTGTCTTGTTGAAACAAAAGGCTCAAGAACAGCCTAGGTCCCGGTAGCAACCTCAGCCTCACCAGCGCCGGTGAGCTCGCCGCTCGGAGCAGGCTTTGCGCCGAAGGCCTCTCGCTTACCTTGGACAAATGTTGAAGCTTTTAAACTGCCTTCCACTGTCCACCCCGAGTTTTACCACTCTTTTTATCGGGTTTAAAGTGCGTGCGGAGTCGGCATGGATCGACGACACTCTGAGGTTACAAAGGGATAAAAGTTGGTGATCGCAGCCCCTCCAGATTCCTTTAAACCCCAGCGGAGGCCTAGGATATGGGGCTTTAGCGTGGCATGAGGAGAATATGTGTTCCTATGACTACCCTAAGGCCCCAAAGTAGTTCCTTCTTGGTGTTCATAGAATCCTATAAGGTAATCCCAAAAAGGAACTACTTTGGGGACTATGGGTAGTTATGCATGGAGTTATAGTATACCCTACCCATGAACAGTTTGGAGGGGAAACATAAGGAACTACGGGATAAAGAGCTGATGGGCAAAATCCTGCATTACCCATGATAAGGAAGATACCAGAATTCCCATAGTTTAGGGTCCTTAGGGTAATGCAGGATTTATATCATCAACCGTACTTTGGGGCTTATGGCTTATGACTACCTTAACCCCACGTAACCTACCTTTTTAAGGACTTATATAAAGAAATCATATTAGGGAACCCTAAAAAGGTAGGTTCCTTAGGGTCCCAGGTAGTTTCTGAAGTAATGTTTTGAGAGCCGAGAGGCGAATTCTGTGTCCAGAGGAGGCTCTCACAATGGGGTTTAGGGTTTTGGGGGTTTAGGGTGTAGGGGTTTAGGGTTTAGGGGTTAGGGTTTAGGGTTTAGGGTTTAGGGGTTTAGGGTTTAGGGGTTTAGGGTTTAGGGTTTGGGGGTTTAGGGTTTAGGGGTTAGGGTTTAGGGGTTAGGGTTTAGGGTTTAGGGGTTAGGGTTTAGGGGTTTAGGGTTTAGGGTTTAGGGTTCGGTTGCGTGGTTCGGGACCAGGGAAGCAGGAATTTATGCGCAAGTGAGAGGTCCACTTGGTCTTCATGACCTTATACTGTTCGCAGTTTCACGCATTCACGGACCCTGTACCCCACATACCTGAACCTAGAATCCCAACAGCGCCACACCGAAACGGAACGCTCAAGTCGTAGTCAAGGCTATCAGAGCAGCCCTGGCTGCATCCGCTGTGAGCCTGGCTACGGCCGCCACATGCTGGACCCCTTCGTCTGCGCTCCATGTGCAGGCGTGGATTCGGGGTTTAGACTTCGTGTTTTCAAACCTAGGGTTTCCATCCGCCGCTGGAGGCTTGCGGAGGGGGGGCGGAGATTCAGGTTGTTTAGGGTCACGTAGCGGGGCTGCTCTGGATGATGGCCTGTTGCTGCAGTGTTCCTTTTGCTCTCTTCATGATTTTCGCGTATTGTTGCACGTAGCAACCCATTCATCAATAGCTCCAACAAGCGGGTAACAAATCGCAGATAGCACGAGCCCTCAGAGCCGAGGTCGGTCCTTGGTGCAGCAGGCGGGGGCCGTCGCCAGAAACCTGTGAGTATGGCATAGGGCTTGGGAGTCTGCAAGTTGAAAGCTTGAACCCCAAATCCTGAACCCTAAGCTCGACATCTGGCCACAGTCACCATCTCGTACCTCGGTTTCCATTGTCTCTTTGAGTTCTGCACACTCGCATAATAGTTCTCCGGCTTCAGGGTTAAGATCCGCGGCGAACTTATACATTCATGATGCCATACAAGCGACAAAGAACCGCAGACAGCGACATACACAAGCAAAAGCAACTAAGACAAGACGAACATAAACAAGCCTCAGCAACCAAAAGATGAATCGTTGACGATGGTGCACGACAAAACAAAGCAGGACATATAGCAGTAAGCATGCTGAAAGAACTTCAACAGCTTTGGAAGACTGCTCAACAGCTTGGACCTACTTCAGAAAGAATAGAGAAAGTACTTCAGAAATTGGGTAAATTGAGATTGGTGGCTTCAAAAGACGTAAAACAGAGGTATCTACGGATGTTAAAGCCCCCTGGCTATGTTTGGTCAACATAACAAGACAATTCTTGAAGAAACGAATGGGGCATGGCGGGTGGTCTCTCTCTGCTTCCGCTACCCCCAGATCATTCCACGCAAGGTTGCTGAACTCCTGCTGGGTTTTGGTCAGCACATGTCAAGGTCGCAGCGCGATCGTGCCCAACTTCGCAGTACGATGGCACAAGACTTTGCCAGACTAAATTATTAAACCTGGTTTTGGCAGCACCTTGACACTGTCGCAGCCGGATCTCAACAACTGTTGCCAAACAAAGTTGCTAAAGCCCGGACTTTGGCCGTGCCGCAGCCCGATCTAATGGCACTAAATCTTGCCACACCACGTGTGGGGTTTAGGGTTTAGGGTTGCTAAACCACTTTCTGCTCTCCGTGCGGAACTTACAGCACGTTTGCCTTGCCACAGCCTGCTGGCACCAGCTTTTGTTACACAAAGTTGCGAGCGTACCCAATGTTTCAAACAGAACAAGTTGCCACCGCACTGTTTGGTTTCCAGGAGGCGCAACAGAATAATCGTGGAGGGAGCTGGAGGGGAAGCCCTCGATGAACGGGTGCGGGGAGAGTCCCCGTCACAACACTGGCAAATGTTTGCGATATTCTAGTAGGACACATCAAGCATTTTCACGGTTGCACGCTGCTGCACCGAAAACATAATTGACATAATTATGCTCAACAAAACAAACAGGACTAACATGGTATGTGTTCAATGATTTTTCAAGGATTGCTTGAGACAGTTCACGACTTTTCGGAGGGGGGGGGTGTCCCACTGTTTGTTTATTTCTTTTGGTTTGCAGTGCGACAAAGATTTGATAAGATTTATGTTTTTTTCTGGGCGGAAGCCCTACTAAAATTTTGCTGGGACGAAATTGTGCTCGCGAACGTTTCCTGGAAGACTTTGATGGAGGGCGTAGACCCAGAACTCTTTCAGCGGCTTTGGCGGGCCTGAGGACTTGCCTCGGGTTGGGGCTAGGGGGCGGGCCGATCAGGGTTGTGGGCATGAGGCCACCTTCGATTGTTGAGCACCTAGGAGGCTTAATCTACGAGCACCTTAGCAAACAAGGCGTGTTTGGTTTGGGGCATTCCAAATCATCGCTTATCCCTTCGTCCATGTGGGTGGTTCTGGCTTGGATTTGCACGTCGCCTCAGTGCATGTGGACCAACTTGTTCTTGGGGTGCTTTGACTGTCACGAGAGTCGAAATACTAGATCATCCATCCCTGTGACATCTTGTGAAGATTGGCAGGTCGCAATATTTTCTGGGTCAACGATCGGCAGCTGAACCTGAAGCCACAAATTCCTGTGCCCGACGCTTTTGAATCGTCGCCGGAATATCAAGATTCGAAGACGACAACAGCTGAGAGATTCCGGGCCCAAAGAGAGCAGCAAGCAAACAGATAGAACCCACTGGACACTCAGAAAAGACACTTGTCTAAACAAGGGTAACCATCGACACAAATTCTGTGCATGGCGACGCCCGGTAGTCACCCAAGAGCTGAACACCAAACTTGTGTCAGAACCTGAAAGAACAGACACTCACAAAAGGGACCCACTGCAAATCAAAACTTAATTAGAGACAGACAAACGAAAGGCAGTCCAAAGACATACAAACGCGAGTTAAGACGTTAGTTAACAACATGACATGTAAGTACAGAATAGTGGCCAACAAAGGCGAATAAAGTTCAAAGGCCCCATTGTTCGTACGTCGCCGAAGAGTTAAATCCCGAGGACGTGATGAGTGACAAATTAAAGTAAGGCCGACGTACGCATGTGTGTCTGTGGGGGAGCCTCAACTTTAGAGGTAGAACCCATCTACCCACACCCTGTTAACAAGTAAGCTGAGGGAAGGCAGCCGGTTAAAAAGCGCTAACCATCGCTAACCTAGACCCAACGGCCTGAGCCTTGATTCCCCCCAAGACCTGAAATCCTAAATCATATCCCTAATCCTGACCCCAATCCTATCAGGTAGGCATTCTTGGTGCAGTTACCATATACCCCAAAACCCAAGTCCAATCCAAAACGGTTTAGGGTCTAGGATTTAGGGTTTAGTGTTTAGGGTTTCCCAGGTGGGCATGGCTGTTGTCTCCAGCGGCCTTTTCTACGTCCTTGCCCTCAACTCCGCCAAACCGCAGACCGACACACAGCAGATCTTCAAGGTGGGCCCGGGGTTCAGCTTTAGGGTTTAGGGGTTTAGGGTTTAGGGTTCAGGAGTTTAGGGGTTTAGGGGTTTAGGGGTTTAGGCTTTAGGGTTCAGGGTTTAGGGTTTAGGGGTTTAGGGTTTGCCGGGTTTAGGGTTTAGGGTTCAGGAGTTTAGGGTCTATAGTCGGTTTGTTGTTCCAGGCTGCATTGGCCGTATGGGGTGCCTAAGTCCATCGAGGGTTCTCAATGTTCCTGCGTTTGGAAAACTGTGTGCCAGCAATTTGGATTCAGGACCTGTCACAGCATGTATGGTAATAGCATGTACGCAGGTAGGGTCTAGGGCTTTCTGAAGCATGGTTGCTCCGCGGGTTCAGATATGTGGTGTCATTCCCCTCAGTCCGTAGCCGTGGTTACATACCTATATGCTGTACCCTCTAGCACGGTTTCAGTTCTCAAAAACTCCACACGGCGGCCATCTCAGGTATTCCTGGCATTCCTCACCATCTCTTGCCGGAGCCTCTCCGCTTTGCCCAACACCCGGCACTACAAGAGATTGATAAGTGATATCTACGCCGGGGCTCAGGCCGGGGAGACTGCAGCCACGTGGATCAACAGCTTTGGCTTGAAAAATCGTGTGTTGTACCTGTACCGTTATCGGGCTGCATGTACTGCCGCTGCCGCTGCTTCCAAATCTAGGGCTGGGATGGGGGCTTATGCATCAAAGTCATTCGGACGCAAATCTGGACATTGGACAGTCATGCAGCAGGCACTGTATCAATGCCTCTTCGCAGTGGACCTCGTGATCAGCACTGAGCCAGGGTAACCCGGATTTTGTTCAGATAATGGGGCGCTTGGATTGCGCGTTCAGGGCATGGTGGGATTAGAGATCCGGTCCAGGTCCATGAACTCCTCCTACGACTGCTGGGGCTTGGTAGACGGCCCAGTCAATTTGTACTGGAGCATCTTCTTGTCTTGGTCCATCCCGACGGCTTTGCTGCTGTTATCTTGGTGCTGGCTCGGCAAGCGCGGTTGGCTGAAGGCCCTGGTGGTGTGGGGGAATATGTTCGTCCCCCCTCTCATTGGGGCGGCAGCGAAGCTTCTGCCTTGCTTCTCCACTCAGGCAGGTCTAAGAAGAACCATAAGAAAAACAAAGCTTACCCTTCTTCAGTGACATCCTCGACCCTTTGCTGCCTCTGTAGAACACCAAACATCCACCACGACACTTGATTAGCGAACCTTGATCCAAGGCCGAGGGGTCCCGGATCCTCATGTACGAGGCTGCTTTTGGCACCCCGTGCGTCGAAAGCTTGTCGCTTCTCCTGAAGCTACCGCGATTTTGGCTGGCTGCCGCGACAAGCCTTCTGCTACTTCTCGTCGGACCCCTCCTTTGGCTCGCGCTGGCAGCGAGGGATCCGGGGAAGGAGCTGTCCCGTTGTCGTACTAAACCGACACCGTAGAGCTGCCATGGTGTGAGCGCAGTTTGGAGGCGAAAGAGGTCTAGGAGGTTGCCATA